ATCTCATTTCAACTTCAAAATAACGTAATTTTGAAAAGAAATCACTGACCCGGACTAACAAACGATGTAGAGGTTTGTACCTTATTGTTCTTTACTTAAATTGTTTGTAGTTTAATTTACTTCCGAATTATTTCGATTGTAGCTACAAAATGTCGAAGCTAACAAATTTCAAATAAGTAAAGATTAAATTATTTCTTATATTTAGTGCTTTATACATTTAAGTTTCCCCAAAGCAGGTTCCAGCGTAATGGAACTATCGCTGAAGTGTACCTATGCATAATTTCCGAACGACTGCACCAAATTGGAAAATTCTTTCTATTTGTGTTTGTTATTATCAGGGCAATATTTGTTTCTAAAAGAAAATAAAAAAAATCGAACATTTTTTTTTTTTAAATCTCATAATATGAAAAGTGAGCGAGTGAATGGGACAGAAGACTGTGAGTGATCTATTCTAATATATTAAAGAGGTAAAGTTTGTGAGTTCGTATGTTTGGGTAATCTCAGAAACTATGGGTTCGAATTTAAGATTTTTTATAACATCATGTTACGAGCAATAGGAGCCAAATATCAATTAAAACAGGTTGAGAAAGTGAGCAAAATTTATTCCTTTGAGACATGCAGACGATATAGCGCGGGTCAGCTAGTTTATTTAAAAAACAGTTTTAATCAATGGAGTGTGTACTGATTTTGTAGGCACATATTTAAGAAACATGAAACAAACGCTATAAACACGTGACAAATCTGAAGAAAATTACAAAACAGGGGCAGGACAAGGAAATCCAAAAAAATTAATTTATGTTAAGGGGCGCAGAAATTGTTTTTTTGAGTAATGGCAGTGACAATGAGTCTGACGTTCGTTGGAATCCAACAATTGGTGCACTATGGAAATGAGATGACGAAAATGGCGACTGTTGTCAAAATTTGAATATTTAAATTCCGAATTTGATGATTCATTTGTTTTATTTTCTTCATGTCATTGCCTTGACCTGAATAAAATGCTCCTACTATTATGACACCAACTTGTAAGTCGTGCATTGAAAAATATGTTATAGGTATTTAGAGTGAAACATAAAAATGTTCTTGTTTGAATTGTTAATGATTCACCACAGTCTCATAAGGTTCTGTCCTAAGCTACTTTTTTACTCACAAGGTCAAAAAGTTAATGAAAGGTGTTTTACATCAAAGCTTCTGAACCTTTGCTAATTCACGTGATGATACTAAACTTGTCTTAATGTTGCAATAAAGAACCGCTGTTAAGGTGGCCCAAGGTCAAGTATTATTATTAGTGTGAAAAGGTCATTTATGTTACTGCGGACTTGTGACAAAGTATATTATTATTGTTTGTTTATTCCTCAATGTTGAAATCGATTAAAAAAAATTACATCGATATCTAAATCATTAGAAATAAAACTATTGTTCACTAAGACCTTAAGTCTTATTTTTGCGTGGAATAAAAACGTATAATATCTATAAATATAAATTGTACATATAATCAAATTAAAATACATAATCTTTACTTTTTTTTTAAACAATGCATTTTAAATTGCAGTTGCATTCTGAATTAACTGTTAAAATGAAAATAAGCGATTGGACGGAATATAAGTACTTGCAGTGCGTTTCTGTTACGTTTATAATTTCTGATTCAAAACAATGTAAAGCCGCTTGTGAGTGCACATGTTATGGCAACTTAAAAGAAATATAACAGTAGGTACCTAAGCAAAATTTAACAGAAGTCAATCCATATCTATAATATCTAGGTACAAAAAATATCTTGAGGTTCAGAGGTACAATCCCTTTTAAAGAGCTGCTTTTAGTTACTGCAAATTAGCCTTAAATTCTATGATAAGCCTAAGAGCGGATGCGGCAATGAATGTGCACCACTTCATTCTTAATATAAAAAATTATAAGCTGGCTGTTTGAGATATAAGACTATACATATGTATAACAACGCAGCTCTAAGAAACTACAAACCCTGTAATTTTATGGTTTTTTTTATCACCAAAAGAAGGGGACAATTTCTGCAAGTATTAAATTTGCAGCTTTAGCAGGAACAAGCAGCGCAGATAAATGTTTGATATCCAATTTAGTTCACGTTTAAAGAGATTATAGTGATCACGTCATTCATGGCCAGACCAGTGACAACCGCCCACCAGACTAAAATTAATTAAAAATTAAAAAAGGTTTAAATAAAAATTGAATTATAAACTATAAGAAGATGACATCTAAGCAAGCACACATTTCACAAGTGATAAAGAGAAGTTAAAGTAAGATAAGAAGTAAGACGACATAAAACATTATACGAGTATACCTACCTTCACATATCAAAATATCATATGTTACCAAATCTAAATATTTTATGGACTCATTGGTAATGTCAGTTTTTGAAAACCTTCACGTAATGGATGTTCCGTGACCCATAGACAAGATAATAATATTTTTAACTTCTAGTTATTGTATGAAAACATGAAGAAAACGAAACCATAATTAAAATAAAACAAATAAAACTATGAAAAATTGAATCAAGAATTTCCACACTATTTACGTGAACTACTAATCTCAAACAAGAAAATAATTCCAGCGGTTTTTTTTTTAATAATTTAAAAAAAACCGAGCCTTACAGTATTGTGTATTATCTGACAACTCACCTGCTAACTGACGGCCAACTCTACCTTCACATTGGTCAAATCAATACAATTGCGTCAATATTTTCGAAATCACAAAGATTTAAAGAAAACGAGAACAAATATGTTACACACCAATAAAACAAACAGTTATTGAGGGTTTTGTAGTAACTATTATAGATTACCGCTTCCGTCCGAATGCTCACATAGGAAGCCCGTTTTATACATGAATAAAAAATTAAATGAACCTTTGTTCTTCAAAACGTTCATTACAATGCGTAGTGCAATCGTACCATTCTAATCAACACAAGACAATAGATCCTATGTTATTTTCTGTAGTCCGTCTCCCTGTTGACAAAGCTGTTTTATTTTTTAAATATTGGGTTTCGTTGATTAAAATAGAGTTCAAAATCTGAGCAGGCGGACATCACAAGCAAATTATAATAGGAATGTTTTTTTTTCTTTTTGTTATTTTTATGCCATGTGTATCTCATTTTGCTTGTGTATTTTTACTGTAGCAAGAATGACATATACCGCATGTCATGGAAATGTATATAAATAAAAATGAACCGCCGAATTGTATTTACGCGCATAACTTGAGGACGACTACACGAAATTGGATAATTCTTTTTTTAAATCTGAGTTTTTATTTAATTGGTCGATTTTCTTCTATACAATCCTTGTTCTGATAATAAGGAACACACTTATTATCAGAACAAGGATTGTATAGAAGAAAATCGACCAATTAAATAAAAACACATAATATGCAAAGTGAGTTATATTATAGTTATGAAAAGTGAGCTATACAGAAACTGTTTAACTACGGTAACAACACTATGATCAAAAACAGTTCCTTGCGCTATCGGGTATGAATTATTATTGAATTTATTAATAAAAGATAGAAATGAGAAAGAGCTAAAAAGGACGTCACATGCGCATGATGATGTAACATTCCACATTCCAGACAATTGATTTTTACGCCCACATCTGACATTTTAGTTCTCTCCGGAGAGTAGGTGAATCTTAAGATTATGAAAAACTACAATAGATTTGACTTTCAACTTTCGTCAGATAGTAATCATTATTTATTTGTTAAAATATTCGAGAATTTCGAGAAAGAGAAAGGAACAAAAAACGAACAAAAACGTATTGTACTTAGGCATGACTCAAAGAATGTGTACCGAAACAGGATTATTTTCTGTTTGACGTAATATTTCACGAACCGTATAACTTTTTTGGAGAGTTAAGACACAAGTGACTTAAACGTAATGTTCTCATAATAGAGTAAGTGGTGTTCCATGTGCCTATTTATAACAGTACTAGGGCCTTCTTAATGTATAAAATTACAAAACAAAACGCAAGCGACGCTATTTCTGGATTGAAAATATGTACCATTCAATGACCTTAAATTATGGTTTAATAGGCTACTTCTATATGGCATTCGATATCCGCTCTGATTTCCGCTTTTATCAGTACCTGTACAGTAATGTCTACGTGTCTTTAGTTCGTTTCTATGTATTTCATAATTTTACAATTAAACCACACATATTTATTCGTATTTCTAGAACCAATTGCATTATTTCCTTTTAGGTTAGGTCTAAGTAGCGATGCTTAACATAAATATGTCTGAACTAGGTATATTATATTCAACTATGTACTTGTGTCATAAAAATTGCGTACATTTGTGTAATTATCTAACACGTAACCTGAAAGTTAAAAATGATTATATTACTATGTAGAGCACCCTCTGCGTTAAAATGCGGAAAAAGGTCGGTATGGACTTTAATTGATTTTTACTATGTTTATATATCCTTACAATACTTTATCAGCACGAAATATCAAAACTGCCGAATCTCTCCTTGAGGATGAAAATTATATGAAGCTAGGGAGGCGTTAACTTGACCGAAATGGCATTGGTCAACAATAAAAAGAACGTTCTACGACCACGTTATAGCTTAAAGCTATGGTTTTGGCCAACATGGCAAATCCGTTAGACATACTTTTGCCATTAGAATATTTATGCTATCCCCCATATTAACCGTCCGCTTCTTGGGGTCTGCGATTCTTCTTCGGTTTTTAAAGGTGTCCCACGTTGTAAGCGTCAGAGGCAGGTCATATATTCCTTTAAATTATAAACGTGAATATTCCATTATAATAACTTCAATGAAAGAGTGATAGAGTAATAACAGAGTGGAATAAAAAAAAACAACGCCAACAATATTCTTTATTACATAATTTGTCAAAGTTTAATAAGTAAAGATACTACCTAACAGAAATAATTTCTTTTTGCTATAACCTACACGTTCTAATACATAAAGATACATGCTATAAGTCAATAAACAAGCAAACATCACTATTATCAGTGACAAAGCTTTTATCTTAAAGCCAGCCATGCATGCAAGTAGTGGAGCTAGGATAGGAGCCGGAGTTAGACGCTTCTTTCTCGTGGATGGGAGGGGAGAAAGCACTGGAAAAAAGGGTAACATGTTAATTACTAGTTTACATTTCAGCTTGTACATGCAAATGTAAGCTGATGCCCTTCGCCCTTTGGGGCAAGAAGCATTTACTATGAATACCTAGAAAATAGAAATCCAAAATTATAGTAAGATCATCTTATAAATGCGAAGGCTTGAATGAACGTTTGTTATTAATCATGTCAGGACGGTTGAACGGGTATAGATATATTTTGGCTCAGATACAGATATAGTCCGGAATAACGTATAGGTTACTCTTTGTCGCGGAAAAAAGGTATTAACGCGATATTAACCTGAGAAAATCGATATTAACGACAGAAAATCTACTGGTAGTTAGTTAGCAAAGATAGTTTTGTTTAAAAAGTCTTAAGTGTGTTTGTGTGTAGGCGTTGTGCTGCGTTATATACGAGTAAGTGTTTAAACTAAAATTAATTGAACGAAAATGCAATTATTTAATTAGTTATAGTTTATAAACAACACGAATAATATAACGCATACGATGTACAAATGGCCCAGCTCGACCGGAGTGATACCACGGCTTTACAGAAAACCGGTGTTAATCCATTCTTGTTGACTGCACGGATGGCGTAGTGGTTTAAGCGGTCACCTCGCCTCTTCCTACTGCGCTGAGTGTTGTGGATCCGATCTCCGCACGGAACAACACTTTGTGTGTTCCACAAATTGTTGTTCTGAATCTGGGTGTTCCTTGTGTCCGTTTCATGTATGTTTGTAAAGTCTTAAATCTTAGGGAGAAGGCACTCAAAGGTCGACATCGTGCACTTGTGTTTATTGAGCTGCAGGCCCCATGGGCGACGGTAGACACTTACCATCTAGAGGCTCATCAATTGGAGGGGGCAAATGTCCCTATACCACGAAAAAAGTTTCCTATAGTACTTTCATTTTTTTTATTATTGTTATAAGGGATAATCGAGCAGACAATTACGGTTATAAAATAGCAGAAAGTAGCCTTGAAAAACTGTTAAACATAGTTTCAAAACAAGCACTATAGATCATACGTAGAACATGTAGGTACGAGTATAACGAAAATGACAAACGGTTATATTTAATATAAACTTAAGTGCTAGTGTTACAAGCGTCAATATTTGTTAGTCTATGGTCTTAATGAAACTTTTTTAGTAAAGCAAATGATAATAATTAAACAAGGCTAAGAAAAGGTTTCATCGTCTAACACGCAAGAGAACGGCTTCGAGTTATAACTTGTCTACTTTGAGGTGAATTCAGTTTAGGATTCCTAGTGGATATAAAAAAAAATCAAATAAAGAATCAAACCAAGTAAAAAAACCACAACCACAGCTTCAAAGATAATAATAATAATAACTTGCTACATTTAACACACGATTGCCTGGTCCCGAACTAGGCAAAGACTGTAACCAGACAAACATACCATTTGATCATCACTCAGCTATTTGATCTGGGTGGAAATCAGACCTACAACCTCTAGCTTAGTAGTCACTAACCACTACTCGTAGTAACACGTGTACCAACACACCAGTCAAAAAAGATAAGTCCTTTTCCTTTAACATTGTTTCATTGTAATTTTCCTTAAAATTTTATGAAATAATAGGGAATCATCACACTTTTGTATATTACAATAAAAAATTTATGTTGTTTAGTAGGTAAGAGTCATTGTATGTAAATCAAAGAGAAGACCACCACTGTCTGTTTTTCTATGACTATGATATTGTCTATGAAACATTCTAATAGTACCCTTTCTCTCGCACACATACACTTAGTTAAGACATAAGTCTCTGATAAAGTTTAAAAAGTAGACTAGCATTGATAGAACCGCTAGAGCTATGACCAGCTAAGAACCAAGTAAACCTACTGCACAGTTATTATAGAAAGATATATGTAGCTTAAAACATTTCATCTATAAGTAGAAATAAATCAAAGGGGATGTAGGCCCAATTATATCAACAATTCCATTCGCCCACAATTCGACAACCATAACCCTGTAGAGAAGAGAACAAAAAGACAATTTAATGATGAGATCTGTTATTATTTGTGTATTATTCTCTACTATCTGTTCCCGACATACGTAGAAAGCCACATTATATATACAGAAATAACAAAATAGAAATAAGAATGTATTTTATATTTTTTGTGCCTGGAACCCTTTTTTTTCTATGCGGAAATCCCCTCGGATCCCCTTAGGTGGTTATGTTGGACTCTAACTGATTAAAAACTGCACACCATCTAGGAACAGTAGCCAGGGAACCAGGTGTACCCTAGGAAGGAAATCCCCGGAACCCTCGCAGGCGTCCCTGGAACACCCTAGCAAAATTTTCAACACAATTTGATCAATGATTTAGAAGCACATAAAGGACAAACATACAAACATTGATTTATATTTATATAGAAATAGAAGATAGATAATATATTCTACATAAGTACCTACTCCGACATACTTATCATCTCTGCCTGTCCCAATCAGAAACAGTATGTGAAAATAGACATACATGCAACTGTGATTAAATTATATGTGAAACAGATAGATAAGGTCAAACATTGTAACTACTAATAATAGTTTTCATAAACCAGTTTGATCACTATTTTATACCATCATCATTATAAACTCTAACGTGGTAGAATTAAGGGTGGTTTATTATAGTATTCCATAATAGAAAGAGATAGGCTAAACAAAATTATGTAGATGTTTCTATTAGAAGTACACAGTTCATGGCCATTTACAAAACTACTGGTATTGGCATGTACATAATAATATATAATATTCTATAGCATCAATAAGCAACTGTTTTATTTAAATTATAATTTAATGAATATAGCTGCAAAGACGAGAAAGAAGTTCTATGACATTCAATTAGAATAGTCTTGCTATGAATTCTTCTAACAAAGTATCACATCAACATCAACAGCCTATAATAGTCCACTGCTGGACATAGGCCTCACCTTAGAAAGGAGGTTTTGGCCTTCTATGCCAATTATATACTATTGGCATTTGAAGGGAAATTTAAATTTGGAATACAAATTTGTTTGTCGATCAAGGTGAATAAAATTAAAAAAAGGAATTTTCATTCTGCATTCAAAAGTTCCTCAAGAATTAGTGGCATCTTTAAATAAAAATTATGCTGAATAATAAAATTATAGTGCAATCACTTCAATGGGTATATCCTCGAGACAATAAGAGTTGCCTTGTGAAGGTCATATCAATATTGGAGTGGTGAATTATTCTACTATTATGTAACTGCTAACTAACTATAGACTGTTTGGCAAATTCTGTGACAATCTGCACTAAGTATGGTACGCAGAGAATTATGGGGGGCAATAAAAGCACTTAGAATTTCTTTAAAAGGTAATTAGTGTGACAAAAATTTGCAGTAAGTAGTTACATTTAAACAAATTAATAATAGATTTCAATAAATATAATGTATATTTCTTACTACACTTCATAGATAAGCCTATATAATAGGTAATTCAACTAAGATAGAAATGTCTATTGATGATACCTTTATGCTATTTAAAAAGTAAATATTTTGAAACTTTGAAAAAAAAATGATGCAGACTATACTATATATACTACAAATAAAATAAATTTGCTCATAATATTCAGATACACAAAATTGAATAATACCTACTTAATACTAATAACAAACTCATTCTACTTATTAGTCCTAATTTTTAATCATTTTTTACAGTTTATAAGGTATACTTCAATCTAACAACGATTAAACCACGTTTACTCTATTAATACTATACATTTTAAGCCTTACCTAGGCAATACCTAGGTAATAAAAGTTCTGGTTATGCCTATTACTAGGCATAGAAGTAAAATTACATGCATTATAAATTGCCATAAAAAGAAATTAAGATTTATTATGCCACGGAGTTTTTTTTTCTGTGTATTGTTTATATTTAAGTAGAACTTTAATATAATTATTAAAGACAGGTATCTATATTTAGAACAACAATACGAAATAAGCGTGTTTACTAGATAAACTACAAACTTTGACAGTTAAATAAATGTAGTTCTTACCTTTTATTCAGTCCAGTTGTTGTATTCTGAACAACTTCGCCAAAAATTCGAAACAAAAATCACAAAAAAACAAGTCTGTCTAAATACTACACTGCCTACACAATTTTGTAAACCATAACCGCCGGATTTGTATGTGAAATGTATTAAGGATTACTTCAGTACAGGAACGTAACTTATGACACAATATAGTTAGGCAAAATAGGTGAAAGTGCGAAAATATGAAATATTGTGAATGCGGTGAATCCACACGTAACGTCACCGTCTACCACGAACCGCAAAAATCAACTGACATATTATCACTAAAACCTAGCCGATGTTGCCATTGTAATAGAGGTATTGTTCCAGCACTAAAGCTTAAGAAAACGTACACATCCGTAAAGATGTTTAAATAAAAAATCCAAAATTGAATTATAATTTATAGATATGGAGCAATTGCTACCAATATTACAAAATACAGTGATCGTACAATAGTCCGTGTGGTGAAGGAATAAGAATACTTAGTGTCACCACCCCAATTCATCCCGTGGGTGTCGTAAGAGCCGACTAAGGGAACAAGCTACGCAGGATGTTGTCCTGCGTAGCTGCTAGCAATGCAAAGAGGAGGAAAACTTGACACAAACCCTATACCAACCAGCGTGGAAAATTGGGTCATTCCTCCTTTCTAAGGAGAGGCCCGTGTCCAGCAGTGGACTATTAAAGGTTGTTGATGATGATGACATTGATACAATTTCCAAAATTATGGTTCGCACTGATAATTTTGAAATTATTAATTTGCTCATAATTTACCTCATTGTAGGCGAAAGTTTGTAGCGTGGTAACACATTTTAGCACGTTTCAGGCAACGCAGATTTCAAAGCATTTGGAAATATTATGATGGTTAAGATTATTTTGTTTAACAATGTTTACATTTGTAATCGATTTTTAACGTTTTTATTTTAATGATATAAATCTACTGAAACTTAATGAATTTTAAGTTTTGTTCACACAGCGACATCTGTCAAACGGTTCTGCAAAACCGAATTTAATATCACAAAAATTCCTTCCCGTCCTGTATAAACAGATTGGTATTGGTTGTGGGCTCCGATTTTCGCATTTTGACTCGAGCGTGGTCCTTTATGCGACTAAGCTCCTTCCTAGGCGGCCGTTTCTTCTGCTTTCAGGCATCCTCTGCAAAGAGGGCTGCCCGTAGCATTGATGGTGAAAAGTTGTCGGTTCAGGGCTAGGTGTCCTGTTATGGAGCGGGACCGGGAGAGGTTTAGAACTCTCCCGGCCCGCCAGGCCCGGGAACGGGCCAGGCACCGCAGGCGACTCAGGCGCCGGAGGTCGCAGAACGACCTCCGTCCTCCATAAGCGCAGGCCTGGGGGTGACAGGTGAGGCCATCTGTCACCCTAGCAGAAGCAGGCCGGGGTGGCGGCGAGCGCGTTGCGAAGCGCGCTCGCTTCCAGGGAGCACAGGGGCCTAACGCTAGTGAAGTGTTCATGTTTAGGTCTTGTGAGAAAACTCTGGCTCTAGTTCCTGATCCAGTCTTGGCACCGTCCGTCCAGACTAAGACCAAGCCACCTCTAGTGCGGTAGTAAGTTCCACAGAAGAGGGGAAGAAAGTTCCACAATAAGGCAGTGCCTTACGGGCATCCTCTAGCCACCAACCCTCTAGTCACTTCACTCACAGTAAATTGAATAGCTCTATATCTTAGCATACTGTCGATCCACCCTGAGATTGTGGAATCAACACCATATCTAGATAGAGCTTGGGGAAATTTGTTTTGTCAAAGGCAACTTCGATATCGATAAATGTGTTGAGTTTTTGTGTTTTAGATTGCCTTCTTTATGTTATACTACTTACTTGATGTAAAGCTGATTCTGTTGATTTTCCCATCGAGTATGCATGTTGATTGTGGTGTTAGGGGTGAATTTCTCTATCTATTAGCCTCTCAAGAACCTTCAACAGAAAGGACGTGAGACTGATAGGTCGGTGGGGTTTTGGTTGTGTGTAATCACACTAATCACCTTTGCCAGGTTTGGGGATGAAGATTACTTTGACTTCTCTCCATTTCAATGGGGGATGTAAAATTTACAGAGGCTGCTTGAGCCTGTGTAAATGTTCACAATGTGATCTAGAAGCATCACGTCCCACCATCTCAGCAGGCCTGGAAAGATACCATTCTGCCCCGGTACCTTGAAAGTGAGGAAGCTGTTAAACAGATATTTTGTTGGTTAATTATTATTATTATTTATAGTAGGTTGGCTTCTTCAAAATATTTATACGTTATTTGAAAGTTTAAGGTTAAAAGCTAAAATCACCAACCAACAAACAAACTCACTTTCACATTTATAACTAGCTTTTGCCCATGGCTTCGCTCGCGTAAATGTCAATTTCATCAATAAATTTGGCCGGGATACCTACATAGTAGCCTCTGTGCTATCCTTAACTCAGTGGCGGATTATCCCTAAGGTAAAGTAGACAAGTGCCTAGGGGAGCGAGAATTTTTGGGGAGCTCGTGGAACTCCACCACCTCCTTCTGCGAGCAAGTTATGCTCGAAAAAGAGGGCGGAGCGGGACCTGAAGAGGCTTAGAACTCTCCCGATCCTCCAGGCCCGGGAACAGGATAGGTGCTGCAGGCGGCTTAGGCGCCGGAGGTCGCCGAATGACCTCAGTCCTGCGTACGTGCAAGTCTGAGGGTGCCAGATGAGGCCATCAGTTACCAAAAAAAACAGTAGAGACGTCTTAACAAATGCTGTTATCGGATCCCTCCTATTTCCGTGTGGTTTTAGTTGGTTCGATTCTGATACACCGCCCCTCCGCAAACCCCGCTGGGGTCACAGCTCATGGGGGTTTTCACACCCTCCCCGGCTGAGCGGGGACAGCATGCAGCAGCAGTGCCTCGATAGATAGGGCTGCTTCATCACCTTAAGTGCTGCCCAATCCACACCGTTGTCCCGGTTGCAGCGCAGAAACGACCACTCTCCTTAGGCCGTTATACGTGCAGGCTTCAGACAAAGCTGGGTGTGCACCACAACCCAAAATCTCTACCTCAACTCATCGCCGTAGGTCTTGAGCAGGGTCCAGTAATCAGAAGCAGACAGGTGCGCGTGAAATATTAAGTGCGTAAGTGATTGCGCTGGCATAGATGCACTCTCTCGTCCTCCCCCTTCTAGGCCCAGTGGAAAGGAGAATCGATACGACTGCAGAGAGGTTTGAATACAGTGAATGGCTGACGAGCATCATTTACCTCAGTCGTCGCCACCAGCATTTCACAATACTTCACTGCCCCGCCGTACCCGCCATTACCGGTTGCTTATCAGCGATGGTGTGCCATCTTCGCTGGGATAGATTCTTCACAGAGCGGGAGGTGTCCGCAAAACCGGTGCCATAGCAGCCGGTCCCCTTCACCGAGTTTAGCCCACGAGTCGACGTGGTTTACCGGGGTGTGGCCGCTACTTGGAGCCATTGGTGAGAGATTATGGGCCGCCGCTCATTTAGTGAGTTACTTTTCGGTCCCCCCTTTAGTTTACAAAAATAATAAAGTCAGTAGACTCGATTGGCTAGACCGACTACTAAAAACTAAAATAGTGAACCAAATGAAAAAGCAAAAAGAGTTTCAATATCCACGTAAATCCAACTTTGTATGAAAATATATACAAAGTGAGGTTATGTCCTACAATTAGGAGTATCTAGTTAAATTGGATTTCCAACAATAATTTAATTTTTATATATATTTTTTTATATTACTACTGAAGCTAATAAAAACGTTTAAAACAACACAGATTATGTGTACCTATTGTATTCCCGCCAAACCCGCAGCCATTCAACATTTAAGTGAAGGACGTTGCTGGCTATTCCAATGATATATGGCTAAAGGCTCAACAAGGCTACGTACAGCCTTCATTGTTATTTTTTGCTGAAAATGCTCGGCAAACGCCTGTAAAATGAAAAATCGAGGCAACGTTTGGATAAAACTACTGCGTACTCCGAAATATTGGATCCATTTTGTTCCTTAATTTCTGCGCTAAATAACACAAGTTTATTTGAAGTAGGAAATAGTACTTTTAAGTTCAGTTTTTAAAAACGACACTTGAAAATGTTGTCTATTTAAGTGGCTAACAAATTATTTTAAATAACATTATGTACTACTACTCGTATGTTATGAAACTTTTTAATAGATAACGTTTGTTGTATTTTAGCAACCTCTTTAGTTCCTAATTCTTGAGGGGCTTTCAAAGCTGGAATCGCGATTGTGACGTTCCAGGCGTACTTGGGCGGTGGTTTTAACTTAGAATCAGAAGCCCTAGTGTTAGTTTATTTCACAGATATGTATTCCATCGTCACGTCACAAATAAATGATTCTGATTCTGATTCTGACGGTGACCGCGTTTGGCGCTGCGATTGGGCCCCACTCAAATCTTAGCCAATCGCAACGCCAAACGCGCTCGCTGTCGAGAGTAGGTTGATGTGAAACAAAGTCACACTTGGGCCTCAAAAGAACCCGTCTGCTCTTTTAACTCCTATATTGAATAGAAATATTTTGTTAGTCTTTTAAGGTAAACGTATCAAGTTCTAACTTAATAATACTCAATATATTGACACTTGTCCACAAAACATAATTTATAATTACTCTAATTTATAATAAACTACATATGACATTCCATTGTTTATATACACATGTACCTATTTGTATTTATACTTATATGTGTGAGTGTGTACACGCATCCACACGTAAGTATAATAATAATTCAGTACACATACGACGTGAGACTATACCTATATTATGTGTATCCTGAAATAAATGCTTATCATGCATAAACACTCAAAATTAAAATCATAATGTAAGTCCTGTCTAATGTCCTCCTTTGTAAGTAGCTCCAACGCCCATTAAGGCTAGTCCTGTCCTTTCTAGCAATGAACTAAGATGACACAGTGTGCTTAAAATTATCGAGAGTCGATATTTTATGTGGATAATAGCAAAGTTTTTTTTAAATCTCATAATATGAAAATTAGTGAGTGAACGAGACAGAACACTGAGAGGTCTATACTAATATTATGAAGAGGTAAATTTTGTGTGTTTGTATATTCGGACTAGTCTCAGGAACTACGGATTCGAATTGAAAAATTATTTTAGTGTTGAATAGCACTTTTGTCGAGGAAGGTTGTAGGCGTAGGCTATACATATAACATCATGCTACGACCGATAGGAGCCGAGTATCATTGAAAACTGTTGCTAAAACGGAGAAAATTTATTCCTTTTGGGAGAAGCAGAAGAAATTGCGCGGATCAGCTAGTAATAGATAAATATTAAGCAAATAAAACTAATTTAAATAAATGATATCATTTTTTAGGAAGAAGAGCTGTCTTACATTGGTTGACAGCGTGCACGCATCATAACTTATCTACTGTTTGTTTCGTGCAGTTGATGATGAAATGTTGTCCTCCAGTCGATAACATTGCATCGCACGACGCATCGACGTAAGTGCAACAATTTCGGTGTTCTGTAACGACCTTGTACTTAAACATATTAAAGTGTATAAATATTTTCAGTGTTTAAATATACCGTGGGCAATGCGAGGAACCTCCTTCCTCCTTTGCCGAAAATTTGAAGTTATTCGTGAATAGACAACGTTAGAAAACAAGTGTGCTGTCTGGATATTCAACAAATAAGCGACAAATTGTGCAACTTGGCTTCAACTCTACTCAGTAATGAACAAGTAACAAATATTATCTTACTCTAATTTCACGTTTCTCTTTAATATCACCAAGTCACCTATTTCCTCGTAAGCAGACACCCGCCCAAGAGCATTATTTTCGGGCCATTTTACCCAAACGTTTTCGGAAGCTTTAAGACCAGCATTATCTAAAATCGACATCCGAACTGAACAAGGATTTACAGTATTGACTCCAATGCCTTTCGGACCAAGATCTAAGGTAACAGACCTTGTAAAATGATTCATTGCTGCTTTCGAAGCGCAATAGGCAAAACTTTTCGCATTGACAGTATCAATAGCGGCAATACTCGAAATATTTATGATGTTACCTTTACTCTTGATAAGATGAGGGATACTTTTGATAATAACGTCGTTAAACATCACTGCAGAGGAGTTCATTTTACCCTCAAGGTTAACTTGAAGATCCGCTATGGTACGTAGATGTAGGTACGTTACTATAGGATTACCTGAAGTGACTTTTGAGAATGCCTTATTATTAAAGTTTTATATGTATTACCTTATATTTTAAAATGTTTCAATGTACCCGCTTTACTCTTTTGGGTTTTATCAAAGTCTTACAACCCAATCGAAACAATGTTTATAGGTACATCGGCAAGGTCTAATAGTACTTAGCGTATTCATTTACCGGTTTTTTTTTGTATGTGTTAAGACTCCCTCAGGCCATTGCAAGCTACAAATTTCTGCTACAAAAAATCATAATTTAGATACGTACACTAACCTACTATCTAATAAAAATAAAAATATTTGGTTAGAAACAGAATCATTTTATTTTTAAAACTCATTTAATTAACATCGTCCTCAACAGCCTTACTAGTCCACTGCTGGACCTCTGTTTAGAAATGAGCTTTTGGCCTACTATACCACGCTAGCCAGACGTGACGAATTAAGAATACGGAGCGTCACCACCCCTATTCATCCCGTGGGTCACATAAGAGCCGACTAAGGAACCAAATTACGCAGGACAACAGCACTGCAAAAAGAAGGAAAACTTGACACAAACTCTATACCAACCCGTCTGGCGAGTGTGGTATAGTAGGCAAAATCCTCCTTTCTAAGGAGAGGCCTATGTCCAGCAGTGGACTATTAAAGGTTATTGATGATGATGATGGTGTGGGTTATCTTAAGGAGATAGACAATTACCATCGCGAGCTTTTTGTTAAAGTATATTAATTTAGCTTCTTTTTAAGATATACAATTCCGTAGTACATTATTTTGATCTATCTCGTAAGGGTTTAGCCAGCGTTTGCAATGTAAGCGCACAACATGTTGTTTACGACTTCACATCACAAATATTTGAAATTCTTGGATTTCCTCTACAATAATATATGTGCATTATACATATAAACCCGCCTATTGAATCACTCCCTCTATTATTAAAAACCGCATTAACTCCATAGTTTGAAACGCTTACAGCCTACAAGAAAAAAAACGACATGTAAAGATCATTATATAATATAGCTACCGATAAAATTATTTTTTACTACTCGGTGTCTAGCATCCCACTTTTTTACCATCAAAATTATTGTCTATTTTCTAGTTAATAAAAAAAAGACATTATTATAAAGCATGTCTTTTTTTTAATGTGTAAAATTTTTGTTCTCGCTCTCGAAGTGTGTAACAATAACTCTGGGAAGTTCGCTATTTGACTTGACAACTAATTACCTCCTAAAATTGACTTTCCTGATGACATAGTAAGCTGTGTCTACAAACTTTGTGAAAAACGAGTGGTGTCACCACTCGTTTTACACAAAGTTTGTACTCGTACCTTTCCAATTAATACCCTCCCTTACGAATTGAATTAATGTAATAGCATTTGCCCAAGGCGTCGCATCGTTCGCGTTAACTTACATACTTAATGATAAATCTAATCAAAGTTCTCTTTAGGGAACTGTATGTTCTTTCAGGATAAAATATATCTCGTGTCATTTTCTGTATCCTTTACAATAATGCAAACATTGATGACGTCAAAGCAGAACAAGTAATACAAATTACTTTCAGATTTATATTATGAAATAAAGACTAGGCAGGGTACCGTGTCAGTACTACCCAATGTTGTCGGTCTTCTGTCGTAGTATGAAGTGTTTTTTCAACCGTAACATTTCAGTTAAAAGTCGCCACTTTCTAGCTTTATTTGGTTGTACTAACTGGCACATATCTTGGCATTTCATATCTACTGAATTTCCTATGTAGTTTCTAACGGCTTCGATCGAAGATAGGTTGACGGCTGAAGAGTAGTGCATAAGCAATTGTTCCCTAGCTGCTTGTGTTTTACCTAACATCGCGTACGCCTTCCTCAACTTCCTGAAGATATCCAAATTCTCTTCTGTCCAATCCAAATTCACTTTTGTACATCGCCGGACTTAATGGCACAGGACATTCTCTTCCAGTTATCTTTTGTAAATCTTGTAAGGTAGGTTCAGAGAGGTAACATAACGTTACAAAAATATACGCAGTTAACTACATACATAAACTTATAATAAACATAACATATAGGTACGCACATATAAAGGTACATATGACAAACTCTGTCCATTAATTAATACTCTTTTTGGCAGTTGCTTGAGAAGTTAATTGTGCCTGACTACCGTGTCTGTCACTGTGGCTTGAATATGAACGATATAAACAGTGGTACTGCGAGACGAGTTATGCTAGATATAATGACGAGAGATAATGACGGCGGCTGTGGATAAGCACGGTCGGAAACTAGTACCTTAGTAAATAGTCTTCTTTAGGCGCATTGGGCATTTTTGAACAACAAACAAAATAATGTATTTTTTGAGATGGGAAAAAAACCATTGATCTCGCGACACTGTTACCTGTTGTTTGGGTCAAAATACAGTGATAATATAACTATATACTCGTAAAATATAAACATATATTGTGTGTATACGTACAACATAGATATACTCGTATATTCGGTCGTACTTCGTATGTCGGTTCTTTTCGAATCGTAATAAGTAATCAAAAAATTTTAAATTTTCAAGTTTTCACTACTGTCGGCACTCCCGGAGTGCCACTGTTTTTTATGGTACCTTTAGGGGGGCAAACAATCAGATGGGGTACCTGGTGGTAAGTGACATGGCACATCATTTAAAAATCATTTATTCATTAAAAATTAAATATTTACATACATAAGTTGACCCCCTTTTCTTTGTCTCTTCCCCAGAATAAGGGGGGAGGTGGAAAGTTTCGGCTCCGGTAACCTCACTCACTCGGTGAGGCCGTGGTATAACTCCGGTCGAGCCTAGCCCAAATGTGCCGAAACATTGCTCTTTCCACATTACTGTTCTTGTCCGATTCGACATTGGTAAGCCCACATTTCTCCTGGTACCCACAGGTCACCTTCAAGTTTGGCAAAAAAGTATATGGACCAGTAAATCTATACTACTATAATATAGCAGAGATTCTTCAAAACTAGGCTTCCGGCTGAGATGATGAAGAGAATGATGTGAATTGACGCTTAGTAACAATTATTGTCGTAATATTTGCAATTTTGAAGAGATATAAGTTCAATCATTTTCACACTTGTTATCAAATAGTATCACACGTATATAGTAAAAATACACACACAACTCATTTAAGATCAACGTTCTTTAATACACGTCACGTTAAAATACATACACAGTCATGCTTGGACCAATTTTGATCAAATATTTGCACAAATATAAATGTAGGGCCAATTTCAGATTACAATAATTACCAATGTAAAAAAACAATTTATTATTTGCCACTATGAGTGTACCACATGGAAATATTCTCCTTCCGAGGGTTTATATCTGCCACGATGAGAGTATAAAGATGGAAACGACTAATTGAAACTACTTCATACTGTAAATTCGATAGGCCATCTTTTTTGTACCTGTCTAATCCTGTAGCAAGCAGGTGATGCCTGAAACAAGAGTATTTACTTAATTTCCTAAATTATGCAAGACTCAAATTGAATTTTATCTCTCTTACTTCTAAATTCTACTACCAAGAGACAACTAACTTAATTCTAAGTAACTGCTTGAATATTAATAGAATAATCGAACTCTTGAGACCCGGGTTTGTGTTAACATGCAATATAATTCAATTATGCAACGAGCTAGCTTAACCAAACTGCGGTTAACCGAGACCGAAGATAATTGAATTTATTATGAAACTAAGTATAGCTAGGTAGATTGCTAATATTTACTTAATGATGACAATGAAAGGTGTTCGTTATTTAAGACGAAACTATATGACATGTTTTATGCGCTACTTTTTCTTAACAAACTCTTTTTCTTAACAAAAATTTAGGAATTGAATTCCCAGGAAAGAAAGTTTTGTAACCTATTTGGACCGCTGTTTTGCTGATGTGCTGACTGAAGTCACACCACGACTCACCTGCAGATTGATCAGTCTTAGGAGACTAGAAATCCGAATAGTTGTAGGAACTATAACAGGACACCTAGCCCTGAACTGAATCAAATAGTATCACACGTATATAGTAAAAATACACACACAACTCATTTAAGATCAACGTTCTTTAATACACGTCACGTTAAAATACATACACAGTCATGCTTGGACCAATTTTGATCAAATATTTGCACAAATATAAATGTAGGGCCAATTTCAGATTACAATAATTACCAATGTAAAAAAACAATTTATTATTTGCCACTATGAGTGTACCACATGGAAATATTCTCCTTCCGAGGGTTTATATCTGCCACGATGAGAGTATAAAGATGGAAACGACTAATTGAAACTACTTCATACTGTAAATTCGATAGGCCATCTTTTTTGTACCTGTCTAATCCTGTAGCAAGCAGGTGATGCCTGAAACAAGAGTATTTACTTAATTTCCTAAATTATGCAAGACTCAAATTGAATTTTATCTCTCTTACTTCTAAATTCTACTACCAAGAGACAACTAACTTAATTCTAAGTAACTGCTTGAATATTAATAGAATAATCGAACTCTTGAGACCCGGGTTTGTGTTAACATGCAATATAATTCAATTATGCAACGAGCTAGCTTAACCAAACTGCGGTTAACCGAGACCGAAGATAATTGAATTTATTATGAAACTAAGTATAGCTAGGTAGATTGCTAATATTTACTTAATGATGACAATGAAAGGTGTTCGTTATTTAAGACGAAACTATATGACATGTTTTATGCGCTACTTTTTCTTAACAAACTCTTTTTCTTAACAAAAATTTAGGAATTGAATTCCCAGGAAAGAAAGTTTTGTAACCTATTTGGACCGCTGTTTTGCTGATGTGCTGACTGAAGTCACACCACGACTCACCTGCAGATTGATCAGTCTTAGGAGACTAGAAATCCGAATAGTTGTAGGAACTATAACAGGACACCTAGCCCTGAACTGCGAATTCATCATTAATGCGACAGACAGTCTTCTTTGTCGAGGATGTCTGAAAGCAGAAGAAACGGCCGCCCACATCATCCTGGAATGCGAAAGTGGAAACACAACGGGCAAGTATCATTTCTGATACAAAATCGCTCCTAGAAGCCTATGAACACTCCAGGAGGCTTCTGTGCTTCTGGAAAGAGCTTGGTTGGCTCAAATGGCCAACCTGTCCACGACGCATAAAGGACCACTCTTGAGTCTAAATGCGGAAATCGGAGTCCACAACCAATACCAATACCAACCTATTTGGAAAATTCTGCTATATACAAAAGAAATATAATCGCTCCTAGAAGCCTATGAACACTCCAGGAGGCTTCTGTGCTTCTGGAAAGAGCTTGGTTGGCTCAAATGGCCAACCTGTCCACGACGCATAAAGGACCACTCTTGAGTCTAAATGCGGAAATCGGAGTCCACAACCAATACCAATACCAACCTATTTGGAAAATTCTGCTATATACAAAAGAAATATAAATGTCGCTAAGGCCGTTTTCTTGGGAACCGGAGAGTATTAGAATCACAGACAAAAATGTGAGAAAATGTTCTACAAATTTAAAAAAAAATCTTAAAACGAAACGACTATTTCAAGCTGCAGAGGCCCAATAGAGTCTATACGACGACAGTTAACATTATACAATAGCAATGACATAAAAGAAATTAGTTTAAAAAAGTTTGTCCGTGTGGTGACGGGATTAAGAATACGGAATGTCACCACCCCTAATTATCTACTAATAACCAACTAACTGACTAAGGAAACAAACTACGCAGGACACAGCACTGCAAAGAGAAGGAAAACTTGAAATAAACCCTTTACCAACCTGTCTGACCAGCGTGGTATAGTAGGCCAGGGTTTGGCCTTTCTAAGGAGATGCCTATGACCAGCAGTGGACTAGTAAAGGCTGTTGATAATGATGATGAGTTAAAAAATAATTATTTCTATTCGAAAATCACCATATTTAATCCTTATTAACTGATAATAAACTGCCTTCGCCTGAAGGATTATTCATTGCCTTTAAAGACATTCATTGCATTCCTTAACCTCTTGCCGAATCTGTTTTCTGAGTAAATATTAAATGTTTGCATACCTGAATTCATTAACTGGTGCACGTGTGTGTGGCATTACTAAATATACACCGATGCTCTTGTTGTACCTAACTATAGGATATCCCACTGCGCGTAGTCTAAAATATAAAAAATAATGTCACAATGTTGGCGTACATTAATATATAGCAAAAGATAAATACATCATCTATTTATTTATGGAGAAAATGAAATGATATAGGACAAAAAAAAATAACTTAAGACACCTTACACACCGCCGTCTGATCTCAAGATAGACAGAGGCTGTACTGTGAGGTTAAACTAGAGAGGATAAACATACTTTTATGTATGTATAATACTATACTTATTACATATTATAAACAAATTAGAACAGGGCACAGAACAAATTAACAGGGCACAGATCATAAACTTCTTAACCAACAGATATTTCAATAATTAGGAGAATGGCTGCTAAAATAAGTAAAGTTGAAAATCGAAATGAGAGTAGTAATTGCTATACCTACCTCCATAGCATGTCATTATCCTCGCCTCCCCACCCGAAGTAGACATTAGAGTATCCATTAGTTCGCATTATCATCTCCATAGTCATTGATACAACGCCACCAAATAATGACTTAAATTTGTATTCCAGTCTGAAAAAGTTTACTCATAGAAGTTTATAGCGTATTAAAATGTAAAGATAGTATTTAAAGTTATAGATAGGGACATCATTTCATCAGCATGTTATGCTCTGATTTCTCTGACTTAGGAAATACTATACAGAGTGTAAGGGACATCGTAACAAATACTGAAATAAATACTAAAGGTGATGATGATGGTAAAATATTAAATTTACCCGCTTTTCTTGATCTCCGTATCGTTTACAAAGGCACTCATGTGCCTGGGTAGCGTTGGACAGCCATACTGTATCTCTAAGTTCATCGGCAACAGGTCCACATCATGGAAAATTATACACTCAAACTTATTTAATTTATTCACTTCCTTGTAGCCCACGTTGTACAGACGGCCCTTGTTAAAGATGCCAATTCCTAGAAGATGTAACATTAAATTATACTTTTTTTTCGTTCCGATTCGAGTTTTTTTTTTAAGTGTGAAACTTTCTAAGCCGGTCATCTCTATGGCCACGTCACAATCTAATGTAAATGCATATGAAATCTGGATAACACATAATTGAGTTTAACCAGTAAACCAAGAAAATATGTTACCTGACTGTTCAATAACGAATATCTGGTACTCAAGTTGCTGCATCATTAAGAACGGGTGAATATTGGCCAAAAATATCGCCAAATTCGTATCTCGACTTCTGCAAATACATAAAATTTTAGTTACCTCAGTGTGAACAAGAAAGCTGTATAAAGTCTAAGTTGTTATGTGATGCGCAAACGGAGGCGCAAACGGTTGCGCAGCAGGCTGCTCCAATTTAATGTCATCACGTAATGTAACTAAGGCATTGGGTAAGTTCCCAAGTGGTTTCGGTTTAAAACGCAACTGAACTGTTTGTATCAGTTTCGAGTGGAGAGAGTCAAGAGTTGTTGTTGTTGAAGGGTTGATAAGTTAGTAAAAAATCGGTTGTCTGTAAAGTCGGTTTACTAACGATAGTTGAACGTGACAACGTCATAAGAAAATACTGATGGAAAGGTTGCATTTTTCAAAAGAAAATTTTAATTACGCTTCATACTTGACGAAAACATGTAAATGTATTATTGTATAGCAGCTGTCCACGCGGACGCATCGCTCACTCAAGTAGGAGAGAGACAGATGTCGAACGCTGCCGAACGCGGAGGCCGATTGTGCCTCTTTGTCGCTCGTTCCGCGCTCTCGCTTGCACTTCAAGCCTTAAATGGAACGCCTCAGAGCGAGGTAACGCCGCATGCGTCATGCGTATACAATAATACATTTACATGTTTTTGTAAAATGCAACCATTCCATCAGTATTTTCTTATGACGTTGTCACGTTCAACTATCGTCAGTAAACAGACTTTACAGACAACCGATTTTTTTCGTGCGTGCAGCCGGCTCCATCGAATTATAAGACGTTGTCACGTCAAAAATTGTGAATCTGACTTCTAATTTCGAAGAATCTGTATGATGTAACTCCTACCATGCAGTGGCGTAGCTATGTGTGGGCGAAGTGGGCCGCCGCCCACGGCCTCGGACTAAGGGGGCCAAGCGAGGCTCCTTTAAATGCGATACCCCCAGACTTAACACAAATTACTAAATAGTGTTATCACATTTATGCTGGAAGTGTGTTTGAGACTTGTCAGGCGTAGGGGCGGATCGTTAATTTTAGGGTCCTGGAAAAACTACTAATTAGGAGTGTTTTTTGTTGACGGGGTGGAACATCCCTTTGGATCTCCAGCGCCTTGGAGATCTAGGTGTTAGGAGTATGTGGTGTTTCCTCTAAAAACCCGCTCGACGTCAGGCCTCAGGCGCTGAACTCTGGGAGGACCTAAACCATCTGACTTCAGGTCTCTACTGGATCAACGCCGCACCTAGCTAGCTCCTATCCCGGTAGAAGCCGCAGGCTCCCCCGCCTTTTGGTCCAATCACTACCAATGTGTTGTAGCGTTACAGTGTTTTCTTTAAGTTTTTTCTACAAGTGTTTAAGAGAGGCCTTCAGTAAAGCAAAATCTCGAAGAAATTGCTTATTTTGCGCAAGTTACAAAAAAAAACCTTTTTCAAATCTATATGCTTTCTAATATTCTGCTACTCTCATGAGTTTCTAAGCATGTTTGGTAAAATGGATGTTTTTGACCTATGTCTTGAGAACGAAACAAAAGGGGCCTCGCTGATGCGACTTCGCCCACGTCTATATTAGTCCATGCTACGCCTCTGTTACCATGGTTTCGTTGTCGGTTGTAAATAATTATCTACATCGATTCTTTCAACAACTATTGCCAAATAAAATGAAAACCAGAATAGGCTATGTTCTATCCTTATTCCTATTTCATGTTTAATTCAATGCAATTAATTCAGAAATTAAGTCGTGAATTATTATAACATCATTAAAATAATGACGAAACACACAGTTAATTAAATGATAGTAATAAAGAGCATACCGAAAAGCAACTACAATCGCGATTTTCTGTTTAGAGGCACAGTTTGGCGGGCGATAGTAGCCCCCACTCTGCACCATGGGAAAGTCAGAAGCCAGCTCAGTCAATTCTACTTTTGTTATATTTAATGGATATGTACCTGAAATAAACACAGGATAAAACATCAAATAATCCTTTTTAAATAAATTTGAACCGAATTCGTTTTAACAATACTAACTAAAAACCTTGCAGCAATCGCCTTTGATTTGCTATCATTTTTTAAGAGTTTCATTGTCTGTCTCTGAAACTCATCATCAGATCAATATGACTATTTCAGAATTACCCATTGCGAAAAAAAAGAATATCGAAAATCCATCTATGTATAGGTACGGACGTACGGATGGAGTTATGCCCGAACATACATAAAGAATATAAACATCCGAATTGAAAACCTCCTTCTTTTTGTAGTCAGTTAAAAACTGAAGTAGGACCTAAAAATATAATAAATCTAGTCTAGTCACGTTACCACCATTTGACCACCTGTAGAAGCAGGGAAGGTGAGGTTTAGGAATAAAAGTAGGCATGGGATAAAATCACAATCTCCTGTCATTAATCATATGATTTAAAAATCATTTCATATCACCTGTGACCCATCTAGAGAATCACTGTGATTTATTAATATTACTACGCCAGACTCGCGAAAGGTCAAAATCTAAAGAAATTAAAATATAACTGTGATACTCCGGGAGTGCCGACAAAAGTGAAAACTTATACTTAGGGCATACTGAAAGTTTCTGGATTCTGATAATTAAGATTAGATATAAGACTTACGATACATTTATTGTTTTTCAAAGTATATTTCCTCGCAATTAATGTATTTTCGCATTTGCTGAGACCACTGTACAAAGCATTTGAACCAATCTTCCTTAGGGACCTCTTCAATGGCTTCATGGAACTTATTCACCGCTGATCCAGGGCTCGTCAAACGTGTGCCACTAAGTTTGTCTTTAATATTTGGAAACAAAAAGAAGTAAACGGGGGGCGAGGTCCAGGCTGTCAGGCGTTCCCCGGCTATTAGTACCCGAGACGGCGTGCGGTTTTAGTCGGTTCGAGTCCGACATGCCACCGACAGATGGTATCCGAGGGGATTTCCGCACGGAAAAAAAAAAGGCTGTAAGACGAATGCATTATCAGTTCCACATTTCAAGCCTTCAAATAGGCATCTGTCAGCGGAATGTTAGGATTCGTTATCGTGGTGAAGGAGGACATTGCTTCGAGGAAGCTTTTTCTTTTTCTAAGACTCTGGGCATGCTAGTGTTGACGTACCAATCTGCAGTCACTGTCCTATGAACTTTAAGTGATACTGTAGTGTAATGTCCTGATTTGCCGAAAAAAGCAACCATTTTTTTACCAATGCTTTGACTTTTCTTAACTTTCGTCGGCAAATCTTCAAAAGAAAAGACACACTCTGCCGACAGGCTTTTTCTTTCGGGTTCAAAGCAGCACCCACAGGTTTCGTCACCTGTTGCAATATTATAGACAGCTAATGACTGTCCTCCGCTAAACTTTTTTATCATTTTGCGGCACCACTGGACACACAGTCGTTTCTGGTCCTCCGTTGAGTCATGGGCTATCCATCGAGTGCAAAGCTTCCGAACCTTCAGATACACATTTGAAATGTTTTGCACTTGGCTCATTCCAATGCCTAAAAAAACACGAATTTGCTGACAAGTAATTTTTTTGTCAGTCTAATAAGTTGTCGTGCGGTGTCAATATTAGAGTCTGTAACCGCAGTCGCCGCCGACCTTCACGTACCTCGTCATGGAGATGATCACGTCAACCTCTAAATTCTCCAAACCACGAATACACAGAGCCGCGACATGGTGCTTCATCACTAAATACCAATTGAAGTCTTTGGTAACTCTTTTGTTGACTTAAGCCACAACAAAAATCATAGAAAATCATTGAACGAAAATGTTCACGAGTTAAATTCATTTTGATACCGACACACAATAGGGAATATGCATAAAATTTGTCTTAAATATTTTTTTCTAGATTATTTATTGTTTTTACATTATGCTTAAAAGGTATTTAGGTATTATTTAGTTATTATTTAAACTAAGAAAATATTATATAGAAAGCTAAAAATAAGGGAGGGAAATTCAAACTTACAAAACGCGCCACCATTGGTCGAAACAAAATGTGACGTCAATGGTCACGTCACGTCTATATATCACGAGAAGACTCTAGTAACAGTACTTTGTGAATATACAAATTGTAATGCCAATATGCTAAGTACTCATTTAATTTAATTTTCATAAGGGTTATTAATATATGTATAGTAGGAAGTGGGCCATTATCACTTAAAAGTTTTATTAAATTATATGATTGTATAGGTAATCCTAGCAACATTTTTGGATCTTTGTCAATAGCAGTTAGCATGCTACTACACATTACATTTTTTAAATGTTTCTCGTCAATCAAATCATCTTGCACTGAACTCAACTCACGATAAACCACTTGGTCCATAATCAGCGGATGTAACAGAAGAATAAGATCATATAGAAGTATATTGGTGAAGTTCCGATATTGTGTGATGAAAGAGGTAATGGTGACAGTTCTACATTTTTCTTTTCAGTAGGTATATTTACATTGACACCTTTACTTCTGTACTTCGGTTTAATATTGACTTGTACAGCTTTGTCACACTGTAATTTATCTTCAATATAAGAAATGCAGGGCTCTGTTTGATGATCATCTGATCATCATGATGTACTGGGTACTGATATTTGTATGGGAAGTACTAGGACTTGCTTCGTAACCACTTCTTTGTGTAGGTTCACCAATGATATGATATATGATAGCATACTCTGAAAGAGCTTCATTTACCAGTGATAGTATTTGCCTTTTAACTACGGGCATTCTTTCAACTGGTGGTGGCATACTCCGTTTTTGACACAAAAATATACGAGGAACATCTCCTTTCTTTAACCATAGATTTCATTTTTCTCCTTATTGTTTTACTATGTTATATTTAATATAATTAACTGTATCTGCCGTAACCTGAAATAAATGAACAATCATCAAAATTTCGTAAAACCGCAATAGGAATAAGCAAGCTCTTTAGAGAAATTTTTAATGCACTTTTATTATCTTCTGTTGCTTAATGGCTAATTCACGCTAAGCTTTACATACTTACGTAATATAGCATACTAACGTTAAATTAATCTTCACAACAAAATACAACCGATAATGGAGATACATGATCGCTTCTCGCCATCTTACGCCTTTTTTTTCGTACTTTTGAAAAAACTTTTAATTGGGTGGACTAATAATAGTGTTGTTGCACTTCGGTACCATACAATACTTATAAGATTTTTAACTTCCGCCATGATTTGTATAGAAATTAAAACTAAAAATAAGTATGAAGTAACTTGAACGCTATAGTAAACAGACACGACACAACCAATGACATCATCAAAAGCGCGCGCTAGCGTTTGAACGGCTCAAATTTATTCAATGTTGTAATTTCCTTTGAAAAATTATTTGACTATTTTCAAGACTATTTATATTTTTTTCTATATTATAAAGATGTTAATAATAAATTTAAGAAATGAAAAAAAAACATGCATATTCCCTCTTTTCAAAGAGGCATCACAGTGAAAAAACAAATGACAGTCTCGGAAATTACTATGTAACATGTTCCAAAAGAGTTTTATTTTCGAATTCCATAATTGTTTTTTTTATTCTTTTATTGTATGTGGCCAGATCCAGAGACTTTCAGTATGCCCCACGTATACTTATGAGGTGACGGAAGGTAACGGAAACGGTAACAGTGTCGAGAGTTCAATTGTTTTTTCCCACCTCAAAAAATGCCCAACGCGCCTAAAGAAGTTTTCACTTCAAAAAGGGTCGATTTGATTGACTTTGATGCCATCTATCTTTGTCTATGACCAAATCTAGTAGTTATTTATCACTGTTGAAATCACAGTGACCAAAACCTATCAATCAAATGAATATGATCTAAAAGTAGCAATAATTTCCATGTCTAGAGAAACACCAGCTTTTTGAGAGACCGTGGTATCACTCCGGTCGAGCTTATCTGTTTTTTAAATTAAATGTCAATATAAACTTTAGGACAATTAAAACATATAATAAACATTAACAACAAATATATATATTAGTTACCTGAGTTTTTATGATCTATACATTTTGGCATAGCCGAAGAAACCGTTGTCGTAGAATCCAACCTCAAAATAGAATCGACTAAAAAAGAGAAAAAAGTAATCAAACGGTGGATATCTCTTAAAATTATACAATAAATGCATCTATAGACCTATTGACACTAACTCTATTTATTATCATAAAACAATTACACCACATCCTTGGTTGATCTTACCTCATGAGATCTACCTAGTGAGGAATGTTACAGAACAGAAAGTTCTGATCGTATTTTACAGCCGTTGGTATAGTAAAGTCAACCTTGTGAATAACAGAAAATACTTCCAGTTTTATGATAATTGGTGATTTTTAATACAAAAGGATACAGAAGATTGCTGCTCTTTAACTCCTAGCCAAAGCCGACCCACACCTAGTTTGGGAAAAAGGTTTGACCATTAACAACGAGAGGGGTCTCCATCGTGACTCCTAGGGTCACCCCTATCGTGCGGTGCAACAAAAGATGACTCTCCAGCCCGACCTTCTGCAAGAAGTGGTTGAGGGCCTTTCCCCGCAATGGGCGGAGCACACACCCCCGTCGATGGCCTCCTTGATCGGAGACGACGGGGCGAACCAGGTGATGACTGAACACCTCATGGACGGTGTTCCATCAGTCATGGATTCGGAGATAGGGGGGGCTGTTCTACAAATCTGTTAAAAGAAAACAGCCCCCGGACTAGACGGGATCCCTGCCCTGGGCCCTATACCACATGTCAGACCGCCTTGGGGAGGTGTTCGACGCTAGTTAGGCGTCCGGACGCTTCCCTGAGTGCTCGAAGAGCGGGAAATTGGTGCTCTTGGATTTTTCAGGAAGTACTTGTAGTCGGTCGCTAGGAGGGAGTTGAGTCCCACCTGTCACCACTGCAATTGCAGTGAGGCCTCGGCTTAGCACACGTTGGCAATTTGACCGGCTTGGGCGTCGCAGCGTCAGGTCCTCATTTATTGGAGAGGATCTCTCGCTACCGGCCATCATAATTATGCTCCATTTCTGGTAGTGACAGTTGGTTTACCGCGGTCGCATCCTTCGTCGACGTCGACTTTGACATCATCTCGCAGAAGGAGGTGGCGGAGAGAGCCCGGGAGGATGATCTCCACTCGCACTCGGCGCGTGCGCGGCGGCCGAGGCGCGGCGCGACGCCGCCGTGCTGGCGCACATCAAGCGCCGCTCCGCCATGTGCGCGCGCCGCTTGGGCCGGCTGCGCGACGCGGCGCGTCTCTTCCGCGAGCTGGCGAGAGACGCGCCTCCCGCGCTGCACGCGTTGTCGCTGCACGAGAACCTACTCGAGGTGCTGCTGGAAGGCTCGAGGGGGTTTCCACGGTAAAAAGGCTCGTAGGAATGCAGTTGTTAATTAGACTATTTTCGTCTATACATAACACTTAAAATTTAACCACACCATTCTGTAACACTATAAACTAAGTAGAAAATCGCGTAAGATAAACAGGGGTAAACAGTTTTATTTACGTCTGTAAAAGTTGGGGAACTCCTCCAGTGCTGGCGTCGATTGCTTACGTTTCTTTGTGGTTAATAGTTCATCTGTAACAGAAATAAATAACATGAAGAAAGCTTTTGGGTAAGTATATTGTTAAGAACAAACTTGATTTCTGTCTTCACACTTTCTCTATCAACTTTCTTAGAAATATTGTAGCCAATCACGCAGCCATGAAAGAAACTATTTATGTGTGGTGGTTTCGGTGAGGCGCTGTGTCAGAATCGAACCGACTGAAACCACAAGGAATACAATACTGCATCTAAAATCAGAGAGGCCTTTACCGAGTCCATTACATTACAATTATTGTGCAAAGAAAGACCCCTATACTATCAGGACGGATCAATAAGATGTGAGCAAAAAAGTGACGAGACTATTTAGACAAATAACAATTAAAGCCAAGAAAAAAAATTGTAGGTACTTTATTTAGGTCGGCACCTTTCAGAGCATCTTCCTATTTAGCTAACAAAGTAATCAGGTTTGGAAATGAGCGTACGAGTCACATACAATACAATAACTATAATATACATTCACAGAACTCTTACCTCCAGGGTCCATTAAGAAAGGTGTAGATTCGGTTACATATTCCAATCTGTCATCAGAAAGATTAAAATACTGATACATGAAATGTAAACACATTAGCATGAACCCCACCAGTATCCAATTCTTATACGACCTTCTGAATTCCCGCTTGTTTTCTAAACATTCTTGGAGTGACCGCGAACGCCTGTCGCGTCCCAGTAAAGAGCTGTATTTAAAACGGTTCACTTTCAGTCGCGCCATTTCGTTTCTCATTCTCCTTGTCAGCTAAGGCGTATGGTTCCAGTACGATTGATCTTCTTTATAAAACTGATTACCAATACACGGAGAAGTTGCTGTTGAAATTCCGCAACAAGGTAGTGAAAATATGTATGACCTGAAGGTAGAAATGTCATCTCAATGCTTTACTTCGAACGGAATATCTGGTAAGGGATCTTTGAGACTAACATATAACTATGCTGCTTGACCGTATGTTGTTACATTAGTATTAATCTTTCACTTGAGATTTAATATCAAAGTATACACAATAGTAACAAATAAGAGAAGAGGAGTGAAAGCGAAAGTACTTTGGTTTATTATTGACAACTGAAATTGACAGCACGACTTCAAACTAAAGCTTCATGTTCACGAGCTACGCTGCCAATTTTAGAAACGAGTATCGTCAAAGCCTTCGGCAACAGTCGTCGGCAGCAGCCATGGACGTATCAACCTGCGGCATCCGTCATTGGTTGACATTGAAATTGTATAAGTTGATGTACACGACAATTACAATATAGCTACCCCTTTATTTGGTACGCGCGGAAACCCCCTCGTGGCGTCAACCCTCCACCAGTGTGTCAGAGTCGAATTGACCAAAACTACAAGATGTGAAACACTACGCCTTAAATACGAGCTGCCCGCAAAAAAAAGTGCACCCCCTTCGGGTAAAAACACTCATTTAGGCGACGTCCAGACACCCGTGAACGTCACCTCCTTGCCGTTGGCTACTGATTATGAGAATAAAGATGTTAATACAGTAATAAAACCAAGAGGTTTTCTGTATTCAACTTGCAAGTAAATAACTTACCAACGACAAAGTCGGTAACATACAATAAGACCTTATGACCTATAAGGCAACTCAAATTTCTATGACCATAAATTTCAGTAACAATCTTTGTAAAACTATTTTTTTTTTTTTTTTCGTGCGGAAATCCCCTCGGATACCACCTGTCGGTGGCATGTCGGACTCGAACCGACTAAAACCGCACGCCGTCTCGGGTACTAATAGCTGGGGAACCAGGTATACCCTAGAAAGGAAGTCCCTGGTACCCCGACATACCTCGGGTCATCTACAGACGAGTAGACGACCCCCCCCCCCCCGTGTGGGAACCCCATGTTCCCTGTGCTCCCTGCAAGCGAGCGCGCTTCGCAACGCGCTCGCCGCCACCCCGGCCTGCTTCTGCTAGGGTGACAGATGGCTAATCTTTGTAACCCTGTGTATAAAACTAAAATTTAAAATAACTGAGCATACTTAACTTAAACAGCGTGTGATGATACGACAGAATTTCTTTATAATATTCTTGAAAGGTACACAAATGTACATCGTCTACCACTGACTGCAGTAGTCTGTAGAAAGGAGATTAGTTCCACTAATGGCAAGAATCATGGCTGTTTACCTCTGAAGGAAAACAAAGGATGCATGGATGTAAACACGTTTCTAAAGAAAGAATTCAGAATACGCCAGGAATGTCTGTTAGAAATTCCGAATAATTATTTATGAAATTAACAAATTTAGTAATTTACCGTATACCGTCGTCAGGATTAGTCAGTAGCAATAGAATCCAAAGATATCTAAAAAAAGAACTACTACAGAATGAACAGATAAAGTTCTTCAATAGGCCACTTGTAAGGAACGAAATATAGTCATGCTATGTTCTCTTAGTCAATTTTCTATGCTACAAACTTAATAATCGCTTCGACGAGAATTAAGACATAGCTTTTGTTTTACCATCTCATCAATAGCTTCCCATTTACCATGTTTCTTTATGTATACGAGTATGTTGATACAAGATTTATGAAAGGTGTACAGAATTGTGGTTTCGGGTATAAAGGTTGCCGTATATCTGGTTGTTATTCTACAAACTATGACCAAAGTTCGTAAGATAACCAAGGCTGCGTGAAACTTGGATATAGCGTTTGTACCGCATCATCATCTTCGGCGGTACACGCAGCAAATGTTTGTAAGCTCAGGTAACCGCTACTTTTAGAGCAGAAAATAGGTACAACTATATTATTAGTAACTAGTTCAGAGTTTAAAACCAGTAAAGATAATAACAAATTTTCTGTAAATAAAACAAATTTTGTCTATTATATAAATGACTGGGACGACAAACAGCGCAAGTAGCTTCGTCTTACAAACTTAGGAAGTTATCGAACCTTGCCGCTTAGGTATTGTGCCGGTCCAATTGTTTCCTGGATTAATTCCCGCCATTTAATGCGCTGCCGACGTTGTGTCGGAAACGAAGCTGTTCGCAGGAAATTGAGAATTCAGCGCATAGACAAGCCTGAGCGAGTTAATTAAGTCATTGGTGTTTACTTAACTGTGGTGTTTAGTTTTCTGTTATGATTTTTATAAAATGCCAAGTTCAAAAAAGTATCTTGTAGTTTGATTGTCTTTTCTTAATTAATGTATAACGGCATTGACACAGTTCGTTTATCATTTAGTCTTTAGCATAACTACTATCTATTTATTCTATTACTAATGTATAAAAATGAAAGAAAAAAACATTATAAGATTTCAGTCAAATAATTTATTTGTATCTCTCGATCATCGTTCAGCTCAAATCTATCGCGGATAGTAATCTTTTGGGAAACCTCAAGAGGTCCGACCTCCATGACCGCTGGCAGCTACCCCATTCGCCGCCGGCGAACCGGGTGGCCTTTAAACGCCTCATACCGCCGCTGTGAGTGTAGCCGCAGGTTGGCGGAACGGGGTTTCCCCTATACCTAACATAATAGCCAGCCGTGAAGAGGCGAGGACCGCGTGCGCTAAGAGACGTCCGAATGTCTTAATAACAACTGTTCCCGGATTAACACCCGGCCAAGATCTGCTGGAGTTCTTTGGGACTTCCTTCCTAGGGGATTTTTGAGTCCCTTGCAATAGACACTTGTGATAAAATAAACAGTGTGGTTTTAACGCGCGGCAAAAAAAAAACGCATGACGTGTTTCGGAATGATTGCATTTTTAACAGGACAACGTGTGACATTAATAAAGGGGTATTAAATTACCATTTTTCACACAGTGACACTTCCTTTCATAGTAACACTTATTTATTTCTATATATAACGCGGTTTGTTTATGTAAAAATAAGAATATAAAATATTGTAACTAATTAAGACAAACATACATTTCTGGTTTAAATCACTGTTTTTAAGCTCATTTACAACAAATGTCAAACTTACACCAATGCTCGTCCAGTAAGAACTTACCGCGCAACCACGGCTTGTACACAATGTCAAACGCGCGTGAAACGAGCTGCCGATGCCTACCATTTAACGTAGACTAGAGATCACAAAATTATCACAATATTAATACTTACGGCAAGCGAACCACCAACTACCTTGTATCTCGATTTATTAATAACTTGCCACATGAATTAGTTAATAGTGTAACCGACAAAAATAATTAATTAATTTAAACTAAAGCAATACTTCCTTAACCTAATGTAGCTATTATTATTTGATTATTGTGTAGTTATGTAATGTTTTCAAAGCACACAGTACTCGTAATTAGTGTACCATATAGTGGACAAATTTTAGTATATAACTACCCTCATTCACTTACATTGGAATAAAGTGTAAACTCTCGACAGCTCAAACATAAACCTATGTGGTTTCTCCAGAAGCTGTCGTTTTGTACATTTTTTCTGTCAAGTTGTTTTACGTGATAAATAAATAAAAAATAAAAAAAGAATAAAAAAAATTATCTACTTATCTATAAATTATCTTTGGCTCTACCACAGCTGTACGTTGAATCCCTTGACAGCTTGTCCTCAAGATATATGACATTGGCGAAATTGTGGTTGCTTCTTAAAGACATTAATCACAAAGTCAGTTGAAGTTCTAGCGTTTTGATGCTGTTTATACCTAAACATTAGGTTTTACGAAATCATAAGTGCTGTAATAAAATACTCTTAGAGCGTAATGGAAACTATATTGTTTTTATAAACCTTTGAGTTGTTATATAATTGTGTTTTTTCTTAAACATTATTAGTAAACAATTTCTCCCACACTTTTGTATTTCTTCACTAGTAAAATTCTTCGCTATGAAAGTTCATTTAAAAGGTTTTAAAGGTCGATTTCTTACTTGCTTTTTTTGTAGGAAATGTTTCACAGATTTCTGTTTTAGTAAATATCGAAGCGAATACCGTTGTAAGTTTCAGCAGTTGCATATTTTCATTGCTACACTACTGATGTTAATACTATGTTATTATATAAATATGTATATCAAATCAAAATATCCAAACGATTCATTAAATACTACGTGTAACGTGAACAAATACTCCTATGTATTAATTAATGGTACAGAAGTTACAATAGGTAAGTATTTATTTATTTTTATACTTTTTAAATAACGCTTACCTATTTCTGGAATATTTGTGATCCTGCACTATAGAGTAGAGAAAAAAGGAGATGGATGGACTGTTTAAAAGAAGATATGGCTAGAAATAGAACAGTAAACTAACAAGTGACAGAGAAGAATAGAAGAAGAAAAGTCATTGCGCCGACCTCAAATAAATTTGGAAAAGAAGATGATGATGATTTTTGATCCTGCACAAAATATGTCTTAGCTATAAAGTACTATATATGAATCCTGAACTGCTTAAAATTATTTTTCTATAAACAGATTTTTGTTCTATAATTAAATATGTTTAAAAAGTGATTTCGTTCTCTTAACTATTTCATGTCCACTGTTTGACAAGCGCCTAGCAGTAAATACCACAATCTATGCACATTAGGTTTTCTATTACTTCGCCAGGCAGCTCTGTCTTCTTTGTATATAGATCTACGTGCTGTTTTAGCTTTCAATTCAAAGTTAATTAATGCAATTGACGATACTACAATAATATAGTCAATAGTTCTAAGTAGTAATTCATTTCTGAAAGAAATCAGGTCGTAAGCTCTTAAATTAATTCACTTTTTCTCACAAATTCTCATTTAATCCATAAGACAGACAAAAGTTTCTAGAAAACTTTCTTTTTTTTAGAATACAGCTCATATACATGGTTTGAATCAATGAAACATCTCTTTAAAAACCTTGGTAAGTAACAACCTATACAACCATGCTTAACTACGTACAAAACTATAGAGATTGCTGATCTATATTATTGTCCAAACACATATAGCACGTTGCAAAATTCCTTCATATTTAAAAGAAATAACTGTCAGTTTTTTCAACGGGATAATTCGGGTTTGAGTATTAGTTAAAAAAATACTTTGACCAAAATCGGTTCGTGGTAACATAATGAAAAAAAAACGAACAGATGGGAAAAACCAGTTTATTGAAAAAAAACGGCATTTTTAATAGAAAATCAAAAAATAAGAGGTTGTAGTGTGACAGAAAAGGAAGAAAATGATGAAAATGATGCTTTGTTACCGATCGCCCACGGTTTTTCAGAAGCATCTACTTTATATTACTTTGACGAATTTTTTTTTACAAATAAAAAGTATTAAAAGTGATAATTGAAGCTCGGAACGGATTTCCTACAAGTCATACAGGCTGAAAGAATAAAGGGCGAAATTCATGGTTTTTTTGAAAACATACTTTTACCCCAATTAGCCCGTTAAAAAACCAGCTAGTTATTTTTTTTTGATCTGAACATTCTCAGCCTATACTAATAGCATTGACTTGAAATTAGAATATTACGAGTATTATTTCTAAACCTATGTACCGTGCAGATCAGTTGTTATTGCGGAGCCAACTAACATAATACGAAAAGGACTATTATGTGTGATATTCTGATATATGTTGTTGTATAGTATTGTGTAAATTTTTATTAGTAGTTTGCAATATCGATTGAAAATCGAGGATTTATCCTCTCTCCCTCCAATTCTGGATGTCCCGTCATCTGATCTTGTCGGTCACGTAACTGTTATTTCTTAAAGGTGAAAAAGAAGCTCCAATGTATCCATGGAACACCCCCAGATGTAAACTTAATATGTCATCTTTCGGTAAGTTGAAAATAAGTGTTTGTTCAAGTTAAGTTAAGTGTTATTTAAAGTTATAAGTCTTCTTGGTACATTGTTACCTTTTGCACTATAATTTTATTAACAGTACTCTGCTAACAGGACCAATAACTATAAAAAAAACTACATTAAAAATTGAATGGGTTGAAAAAAAGCACTCGCACGTGAAACTTGGAGGTTTTTATGCACCAGCAAAGTGTCGATCTCCTTACCGTATCGCCATCTTTGTGCCGTACCGGTGAGTAATGTAAAATAAATATAGTTAGAAAGCTCAAACCTCCCGGCAACAGCCAGTGAGCCTAGTCTGAGATTTTTTCACCTCAGCTCGATAGTCACAGTAGAACTCTTTACCAATTGCAACGCCGAACGCACTCGCCGTGACGATCGAATTGATGTAAAATAAACTCACACTAGGCCCTCTGTACGACCTGTCCACGCCATGCTGGCGGGTGAGGTGGGATGGGGCGCAGTGGCCTCTTTCTGTAAAGCTGTAATGCTCCAGAAAGAGACCACCGAACGAGATCGGGACAGCGCTGATCCTGAGCGTGGCCGCCAGAGAGTGGGGACCTCTGGTTGCAGGGTGACTGCTGCGGTAGGGGATAAGATGGCGGCCTGATTAATGACGCAATTGGGCTGCCACGCCGCGATTGATGGGAGGAAAGTGCCTAGGATAGGGCTTGATTAAGCATGGTGTCAATTCGGGGAGGACCTGCAATAAGATGGTCCGGGTCCTCCAAAGGGATTTTCCACCCCGTCAACAAAATAAAGGCTCTCTGTACGAGTAACATGAATGCTCTCTATTCTATTCCTTATTATACCCCATTAATTCATTTTCGAAAATCCCCTTTCTAACATTAGATACCTTTACTTCTTACCTACCTTCCCTGACATTGTCATGCTAATTCTCCCATTCCTATTATCCTAAATTGCCGGTTTGGTATCAATAGGATTGCACTCTATAACGTCGATAAGACTGAAGTGGGCAAAATGTTGGCGTTAACATTCCTCTGGTTACCCCTTTCGAAGAATATACACGTGACTGTATTTATCTGTATGTATGGTTTGCTTGGCGACGCGACAGGTTAACCACGCATTTCCATAAACTCAGGTCAGCACCGTAATAAATAATTATGTAATGTCGTTTACTAAAACTGTTAACGACTCTACATGATCTTGAAAGATTTATTCTAAAGTTTCTTTATTCTCATCTGTCACAATCAGTGAACTCTGTTTATAAGTTCCTTGCTAATTTTAGGAACTTGAAGGAGAATCTCAGCATATTCCTTTACTACATTCATAGATTAATGAAAATACATATGTTGGAATATAGAATATTTATCGTTGAACAATTTGGTAAGTTTTCTAATCACGTTTAAAATTACACTAATTTAATAAATTTGTTGTGAAATTAAGTAGTAGTAGTACTAGCATACGTAAGTGGTAGTATTATTTTTTATTTATTTAGTAAATTATTTAGTTTACGCCACTTCTGCATAAACTGAGGATAACTGCACTCTGGGTGCAGGGTAAATAATTAAGATGCATTTATATAAATGTAACTCAAAACAGAATATATTAAAAAAATTGTAATTCAATACTCTGCTAAACGCAAAATGTGTGGATCATCAAAATCATCAGTGTTACTAATAAATAAAAAGTATCTTTAGAACATTTGATTGACATCAATCGATGTCAGCCCCTTTATTAGTTTAATATAAAATGCCTTCTATGAAAATTATTCAATCCACATCTGTTTCCATACATATTTCTACAACATATACGTTCTCGAATTATGTATATGTATTAAACCATTTATTGTAAACTTGTATTGAGAGATATAAATAATTATAATTCGGCAGATAGTGCCACCAAGCATATATAAAGGTACCGCAAACAATCAGTTGTGCATGAAAGTTTAAGTATTTTTTTACGCTGGAATACACTTGTTATGTTTTATTTCTTAATTTAATAAATTCTTATAATATTTATAAAATCTCTGATATTTTCTTTTTTAACATTTTATTTTATTAATGTAGGTACAGAGAAATTTAACAGAGGCATTCTCTTCAATATTGCATATTTGGAAAGTCAGCGGTTCGGAACTTGGGACTGTCTAATTTTTCACGATGTAGATGCAATTCCAGAGGATGATAGAATCTTATACACTTGTTCTCGAAGTCCGTTTCATTTTTCGTCGGCTGTCGAACAGTTTGGCTATAAGTATGGTTTACTTGTATTATTATTTACATTTAGTCCGTGTGGTGACGGATTAAGAATACGGAGAGTCATCATCCCTATTCATCACGTGGGTGTCGTTAGAACCGACTACGGCAGCAAACTACGCAGGACAAGAGCACTGCAAAAAGAAGATAAACTTCAAACTAAATCCTGTACCAACCCATCTGGCCAGCGTGGTATAATAGGCCAAAACCTTCTTCCTAAGGAGAGGCATATGTCTAGCCAGTTAACTACTAAAAGGCTGTTGATGTTATTCAAAACTGGAATGTTAGAGTTGCATTTTGGCAGCCATATTTATTTTGTGGCTCTGTAGTTGATTAAGTATTATAATGTTTAATACAATGGGCATAATTACATTAGCTAAGCAGTCAGCCTTGGGAGAACCATGCTTCGTCTTATATGGACCAGAGTGATATCGTGGCCTCACAGTAAACCGCTGTTGACCAATTCTTTCGTTGCTTAAACCAAGTGAGTGTGATTGGAGGTTCAACCCTACTATTCTGGTGGGATGGGTCACTCGAAAGATAGCAGGTCTGTTCATTTACCCCCAATGCCATTAAAAGCGGCGTGAGGGATCTATGGACCCCCGGTCAAACCGAAGTTCTTTTCGCTTTTTGGTAGATGTATAGCTATAAGTGTCGGAAAAAAGTCTTGTTACACATTTTCGGCCTCGCTCCCATCCGCTCAGAGCGTGTAACGCGCGATAAGAAACTTCGTTCCAAAAACTATAAAATGAATTGTTTATACACAAGAGTTTGTTTGCCCTTTCTTCTCATGAGGCTCAACAGTAGATAGTGTTGACAGCTCGTACCCCGAGTCGAAGCTACTGAACCTTTAAAGCTCGAGCTCTAAAGGTTCACGAGTCTTAAAGGTTCGAGCCTTAAGGGTTCGAGTCTTAAAGGCTCAAAAGCCCAAAAGCCCTAATTAAAATTTACGTAATATATTATAAATTATAGCAATAAAATATTATATTGTTATGTAGTATTGCGAATATCTTTGGAAATAATTTCTTTTTTTAAAAGAGAACTCCCGCTCTAGTAGGCGTGTCCTGCTGCAAGCTACGTACGGGTTAGGTCTTGCCATAAATTAAAATATTTTACAATATTCTTTATTTATAAGTAACGCTGGATTTAGTTTTCCATTGCAGTCTACGGTACGAAGAACAGTTTGGGTGCGTGACGGCTCTTACACCGGCGCAATTTCAGGCCGTCAATGGTTATTCAAACTTCTATTGGAGCTGGGGCGGTGAAGATGATGACATGTCTGCCAGGTAAGCTCTTTTGACGTAATATGAAGGTACTAGTTCAGTTAGTTCAGCTCAGAGATATATCTCTTATCAGTCCTCTGATATAACTCTGTCTTTGGTTGGTTTTTCGTTGGTTGGTTGTGCAAACCAGTGCTACTTACGTCGTGCTAACACGAAGTATATTCTGGCAAAGTACCGGACAATAAACTCCGCCACTAGGAGGGCTACACCAAAAGGGCAATATAATATCGATGAAGGCGGGCGTGCACCACTGAGCCATGATTCAGTCAGCCTGTGACCGCGGCCGATGCTTTTTGGTCGAAACGTCACCCAATTCTAAGATGATTAGTATTACGTCATAAATACACATTTGACCCTATTGGTCTAGTGGTTAGTGACTCTGACTGCTAAGCCGGAGGTCGTGGGTTCGAATTCGATTCGATTGTATATATACCGCCTAGTATAATATACCGCTAGTATATGTATATATATCTACTAGGCGGTATATATCCACGGTATGTAACAAGTAATTTATCTGAACCTTCTGGTTATCTTAAAACTGCTAATATGAATTTCAGATTAAAATTCTCAAACTTGAAAATTTCAAGATACAACATTACGATAGGCCGATTTGCTACGCTACCTCATAAAACATCTGAATCGGGACGAGTGAAGTAATCATTTCATTTTATACGTTTTTAAGTGTTTATTTCAGAAACGATAGGTAGAAATAATTATTTAAAAAAAAATATTTAATCCGTCTCTTTGTGACTTTTGTAATTCAGAAAATAATGAAACGAAAGCGATTTTCGTATTAAAGTCCTGAAGCAACAAAAATACCTGGAGAACCTCTTGCTTTTAGGTAATCGGTGAATACGACAGTATTGGAATTTTTCTATTATTTAGATTCTTACCTCTTTTTCATACAGGCCAGGAAATATCCATATTAAAAAAAAGTACATGCAATCAGCTAAATCATTTTACTTATGCCATATGCATAGCCTACAACATGACATGACCACTTCGTAACATCGATGGAGTCGCAAATATTTTGTAATCCTTGAAGATAAATCCACAGATATGTTTTGAAATTAGTACATACTTAATAGTATTTTTTTATATTTTTTGCTACAATTTTCTTATTCTTTTTTTCCAGCACACTATTTCTCCTGTTATGCAGACAGCGCTTTCAAATAGAGGGACTTAAAACAACGCATTACAAGCTGATTGCACTCGATGAAAGAAAATTGTTTACACACATACTTGTTGATGTAAACCCACACAAATTAAAATTAGATGACAAATATCTTTTACGTCAATTGCTTAATGTAAGTGGAAGAAATAATTTGATGGGTTATCGTTACACATTTCTCATGCACAAGGCTACAAAACCAACTTTAAAATCATCTTAACATGGAAATATTAGGAATACCTAGTATTAAAGTACACATTAAGACCTACTGTTTTATTAATAACCTTATATTCTAAAGCCAGTAACCTGCATGCATCATATGGAATCATTGGAGTACAGTTTGCCAGTGAGTGGAAGTGATAAAGACAATGAGATGGATGCCCGATACTTCCCTGCAATTGGATATCGTGAAGTGGGCATGATTTTGATCGTAGAACAGGGCGGAGATTAGAAATTTCGCATATAAATTGGGTAAATAATTCAAACACAAGGTAAAAAAAAGAGATAGCTTGAGGTAAACATTTAAGTCGTATAAATGTAAATAACCCGGCTGGAGGGCACCCCTGTTTAGGATTAGAAACACACTTGCAAAACAACGGTGAAATTTATACAAACTATTTTAAACCTTAATCGCCAGGAATTGCATTTCACTCCAATTTATTATATGGCAATCACACTACAATCTCTTTTGTGTGTGTGAGAATTTGTGTCGATATTTTTTATAAATATAAATGGATTACAAGTAGTAATAAAAACCATAGATTTATGCTATTTTTTTATATTTTAACAGTAATGATACTTATAAATGAATGGTACCTATTACTTAAAATCAAGCTATCCATTAACAGTCAAAATACTTTATTAATCCAGGTTACAGCGTACACTTATGAAACAATAAAAAAAAATCTAATGAATAAGAAATTATAGAAAAAAAATGGACTGAACATTTTCGACTATTTTCTGTAGAGAACCAATCCTGTCTACCGGTAATATTTATCCCTTATTATTAAATATCAGGATCTTTCAGAAATCTAGAAAATAATTATATGATAATAAATAATAATATAATTATTTATGCTTTCTAAAAGGAAAACATTTTATTGTCATTTATCAGCATGTTAAACATTTATAGACAAATAAACAAACTTAAACTTAAATACGCAAACTTAAATTAAGAATTAAATTATTAGGAAATTAAATTATGCTATTATCAGAATATTTTACGTGCATATATCGTTTAGTTTTTTACGTTCGAAAATCTAAAAACTATCCCTTTATAGTAGGTACATCGATATAATCTGCACTTTCCTTCAAATGAATGGTACGGTTATATCACTAACTGGCGATTGATGCATTGCAGAACCATATCTAATATTTCAAATTACATTTCTTGGCGGTTGGTAATTGTACGAAATAGACAATAATAAATTATGCAAATACCTTATGAAAATATTGATCGAGATAAAAACAATTATTCGTAAAAATCAACTTCGGGAAACGTCATCGAGAGTCGAAACAAACTTGTGTTTGAAATTGAAACTTCCTTAACGGAGGTTTCAGATTGGGGCCGACTAAATCTAGTCCAGTTCAACCCAAAAAAGACACAGGTCTGTGCGTTCACCGCAAAGAAGATACCATTTGTCGTATCACTTCTTCCTGCTCCAGTTCCGCACGGCAAAATTTTCATCCTCATCACCTGGACAGTCAGTGCTCCACTATTGTGCGCTTTTCGAGACACTTTTTGCCCCGCACCACCAATCTGTGGAACGGGTTATCGTCTGCGGTATTTCCGGACCGATGCGACCTTTAAGAAAAGAGCGTACTTCTTTCTAAAAGGCCGGCAACGCGTGTGTGACTCCTGAGTTGCAGACGTTCATGGGCGGCGATGGTCACTTTCCATCAGATGACCCGTCTCTGCCGCCTCCAACATAAAAAAACTTACCTATGAATTGCTTTTATTAGTTAAATTACAAGTCCCTGATGCGTTTTTACAACCTATTAAACCAATTCACATACGAACCGCGCAACTAAATTTCGAATGGTGTGAATTTCTGAAGTAGTGTTCGTCCACACATCATTGTTACAACAAGGTCCAGCTTCTATGCGACTTCTTATGTCTTATTATTACGATTTCTATGGTTTGTATGAGTCATTCGACATTGCAATACTTATTGAAGTAAAACTTATTTACGCAAGCTTTACTTGGGCAGTAAGCTGGTGAATACGTGACGAGAGCGTTACGAAAAGTGTGATCGGGCGAGGCGAACGGAAGTCTACGGCCTACTTCCTAATAATAGATAAAAATAGACTCGGAACCAGTGATCGTGTTCTTTACACAAATATTTGTGTAGTAAGGGAATTGAACGCCTCTAGCTTTAAAGTTAAGATCGAATAGTAATAGGTCATTATGATATTATATTATTATGACACTAGTGGAAGGTATAATAAAAACAAATGCATAATTAAACAGAAACTTCTTTAATTTTAGATTCACAATTTTAGATTTCAGACTTACAATTTAAATTTTGATTATGTAACAGAGAATACCTACCTATTACATGGTGGGCCTGTAATCCTGGGGGATTATCTACTCAATTACTCTAAAATTTTAACGAATTAGCCAAATGCACTTTAGGTTTTTCGTCCGCTCATCTATTTATTAAAAGTATGAAGGGAGATCCTTGAGAACGAAACTAAACACTCTTTTGAATCGGGCGGATAAAAGCAAACTATTTCACGTATACTAAGTACAAGAAGAGTGTACTTGAGACATCTGTTATTGAATGGAAGATATTGTTTATCCGCCTCCAAAATAAGGTGTTGTCGACTGTGTGTGGTGTGTACGGTCTTATATTCTCTAAAATGTAAGGGGTATTGTACCCGAAAATGTTTACAACCGAAATAATGCCTTTAGTTCCTTGAATAAGTAACATTAAGTGTATCTGCGTTTTTCGCCCACAATCTTATATAAATATATCACTGATAATAAAAAAAAACATTTTGAAACAGTATCTATGAAATTGATTTGACAGTAAAAAATGTACTAAATTAATTTTTTGAAAAATTATTCCGTAGGTGCCCAAATATCCTATGGACTGTCTCCCACAACTTCCATTACGGATAAAGTTGCAACAACTAGGAATATTATAAATGATGTAGTAGATAATCTAAACGATAAACCCTTCCCTCTAAAATGCAAATTAATCAAAATTAAATTAAAACTTTGTCGAGGACATCCGCAAGACAAATGATTGTAAATTTTTTGGCCTTGTTCAGCATCATGCATATGTTTGGATCTGTGACAAACTTGCATACGTAAATATCTCCGCTATCAGTATCTACCTCTAAAAATTTCAATAACTCAGTTACTTGATCTACATACACTGTCTTCCTATTTTCAGGAAGCAATACAAAATGCCAAGGTAGACAGATACGCAGTACATTCCATATAACGTCTTGACTAACAGCATAAGCTAGGTTGGGGTCCGGCACCGGCTCAGTCTGTGCTTCTTCTTCTAAGACTTTCTCCATTTTTTCCTCTAAATTAGTTTCTTTCTCTTCCTGGTCCTGACATGGAGGGCAAATAAATGTAGTCTTGACATTTGTAGCCGATTGTGTTAATTTATTTTTAGACTCTGCGCTTTTGGACATCTTTGCCATACGTGCGCTTTGCGATGTCTCAATTTTCTTAACGCTGTGTGATTTCGTCACATTTTTCCCCTTTTTCCCTCCCTTTTTGTCTTCAACTGTAGGTACATATTGGATTTCTGAAATAGTAATACCTTCACAATAATTAACGGTCCTTGTTAAAAGTATATCCAGAAATTGATTGGCACATTTTACTGCACACGCTAGACAGGCATCTCTGTACTGTTTGTCTTTAATCAATTTACATACTATTTCTTCACAATCATCCAGAGAATGGCATGTTCTCTTACCCACAGCCATGGCTAATGCCATAACAAAGCCTTCAATTGGATCATTATCTTTACAGAATGCTAATAAAAATGCTGAATAATTCATCATATTCTGGGATGTTTCAAATAATTCAAATAAGAAATGTTTGATTAAATTTTTTCTAAGTAATTCTCGTGTATCTGCTGGATCAAAATCTGTTTCGAACCAGAGAACCTCTTCAATAAATTCATCTCTACTGATTAACTCAGTAGATGCAAGATCTTTGCATCTAAAACTTTTACGAAGTTCTAGTAACTGATCCAAATTAGGAAATCTTAGATTCAGGCAGTAAATTAGAAAATCTCGCCAATCAACGTACACCATATCTCCATAGAATGAATACACTAATTTAGAAATTTGCTCGGGATCGACACGTTTCCATATTTCAGGGAAAAGACTCCCTTCACAAGATTCCTTTCCAAAGAAGATAAAATCTTGTAATAAATAGATGAAAGCCTGTTGCAAAATAATACCATTTGGTGCAACAATTTTAAACTGTGACCGCAGAGATGCTAGTTGACTAATTTTAAAGTCCATTTCGCCCATCATTTCAATAATTTTTCCTGAGTCTAAAAGAGGTTCTGGAGGTGCGAACTGCAAAAGATTTGGATCAATCACAAATGTATCATGTTCTAGTATAAGACTATCAGGTATTCGACGTCCATTTTCAACAGCCATTTGTAAATATTTACAAAGTCTATCTACAGACTTTATCTCATTCATGTAATAAACATCAATATCGTTCTGTATTTCCATAAATGTTCTAAATATATGATCATTAAATAATTTCATATCACGATAACATTTATATTGTAAAGCTAGTATTCGAAGACTTGCTCTAAACATTTCTCCGTTGATGCCCACTGTCCACTCTTCAACACACTTCAACGCATTCTGCTTAAATATTTCTTCCTCATTTACAGAATCCTCCGAAGAATTGTCGTCTTTCTTCTTTATTGTTGGTTGAATTTTAGCGATTTCACTATATTCTTTAGCTATTAGACTTCTATAAGACTCGTTGGTATCCTTAACAATTTTTAGAGCAAATTTCACATTGTTCTCAATCACCAAGTTAAATGGATTGTTAGAGTAGTCAATAGCAATATTTTTTAAATGTAGTTCTTGAAACGCTGCTTTTATCTGTCTGTAAACTTTATCTTCACCCCCTTTCTTGCTTCCAGATACTTCATCAGAATCTTTGTATATTTTAGTTAAATCTTTTGAGACTAATCTGTCGTTAGGTGGCAATCGCTTTAACATAGAAAAGTAAAAATCATGGAAAGCTTGGTAAGTCATAATAGATCTGGAAAAATGTTATTTTACGTTGTAATAGATAAATACTTATATTTTTAATAATTTACTTATATTTACACGGTAAAGGTACGCTTACCTGTTAAGCTCTGTTTGCATACACGATATATACGTGTTAGCCATACTAGTTAATTCTTCCATCGTCCAATTATCGCGTATTAATAGCTGTCTTTGCTGTTCAGCATATAATTTTCTTTCGTCACAAATGTGATACAGTTTATTTTGCAACTCCTTCACTCGACAGTGCCATTCGTTTTTCGCTAAGCTTACATCCCGCCAATCATTTTCAAAATCATTATAGTCCTTTTGAAAACGACTTACTAAGTCTTGTTTATTTGAAGGTAGTGTTATTATCTGTTCCATTTTATCCTTGATATATCTAGCGTATGGAATCAAACAATTCATTTGTAACCTTTTTGCAAAAAATAGTTGCTCCATATCTCGTATGTAAATATTTTCTACTTCCTCCCAGCAATTCGCTAAAGCTATGCCAATTAGTTCTGAAATTGGCAATTCAGCATAATCCCAATCTTCTTCGCCCGGTAATATTTTAATTTCTTCTACACTGAGTAAGGATTTTTCAATTTCTCCTATTTCTTCTGAAATGTTTTCATCGGAGTATTTATCTGCCGAAGGTTCTTTAACTACTTCTAACTCATTACTGATAGATGTTTTACTCATTTTATTTCGACTTAATTTGTCCCTAGATTTAGTAGTAGTACTTACTTCTGGTTTGACTATTTTGGATTTAGTCCTTTTGTCTTCAGATGTCGGGAAATCAATTACACTTAGAACACCCTCACCAAATAATGTTTCACAAGATTTCAAAGGCAATACCAAATCTCCAATTATATACTTGCATATTTGCGCTAATAAATCTTTATCAATTATTTCGTAGTATAAACTATAATTTAGACCCAGGACGGCATAAAATCGGTCAATCAATTCAGAATTGTCTTCATTCAAGTCCCATATAACAAGTTCTTGAAGGATGTCTTCAGTGTTTTTAAGATTAATATAGCAAGTAAAGTAACTTTCAAAAGGTTTTACTATTCTCTTTTTATGCGGATCATTAACAAGCTTAGATATCCTTACATTCTTGAACTGATCTTTTTCTTTTTTACGATGTTTTGCAATACTTTCTTCTAAGTAAATTTCATCCCTGTCATCAAGCTCAGTATCATCGGGAGGAGCTATACCAAGAAATGTTTCCTCTAGAATTTGCGCTTCCCTGTATGTGTTTGGGTAATTTATTATTACAAATCCACTAATATCATCTTGGTCCTTAAGGTATTCTACTATCATTGCCGCTAGAAGATAATCAGTTAAAGTGTCACCTGCATTAAGTGATTCATAAGCATATTTACCAAGATCAGCAGCCGCAGATAAAGCAATTTCTTCTTCGGGTATGGTCTTTGGAGTTTGAGTCTGTTTTGTGTTTGCTGGAGTTACTCCGAGCATAGACGCTACGGCTAAATCACTTTGTTTGTATGTGGATTCATCATCAATTTTCATTAATTTGATCAGTTCTTTATCCTCTTCTTCTTCGGCTGCAGCCAAAAATTTATCAAACGATAATTCAATATCTGTACACCCTATTAACTCACATTTGAACTGTCGTAAGGCAAAATTAATCGTACTCTCAAGTCGAACTACGTGTATTTTACGTAAATTTAATAAATACTGCATTGGTACAGTAATCGATCTGTCTGGAAGGCCTCGTAGTATCGCTTTAGCGGAATAAACTGGTAATGCAGCCGGAGGTCGTGGTGGTGGATATGGATATTTAATCTCCAGTAAAGTATAAACTATGTGACCTAAAATTCTTGTCCCCAAATATTCGTACTTTCTTTCTTCGGATTCGGGATCGTAATTTGGAATTAATAATTCTAAAGTCCAAGGATGGGAGTAATTATGATATTCTTTGAATTCTGAATCATTTAAAGCTTCTTGACGATCCAATTCTAACCTTACAATTTCTTCGATTTGAGGCGGTCTCTCCTCCTCACTGTGATCTATTAAAATTTCTTCCATTGGCTCAAAAATATCAAAAATGGGCTGTTGCTTGTAATACAACGTTTTCCATTCATGAATAAAATGATTAGGAATATCGTCACCAATTAATTTTTTAAAATATCCATACTTTGTCGCATAGTCAACTATAGATAGCATAGTTTCATAACATATTTCGTAGTAATGTTGACGTTTACGTTTCATTTTTTCAGCGTACAACCTTTTGTGGAGTATTTCTTGTCTCCTTTTTTCGAAATCTATTTCTTCCACTTCTGAATGAATATGTTCTTTAATATTGTCAAGAAATTGATTGAACTGCTCATCTCTTTGTTCACTAAATTCTTTTTGAGCCTGAAGTCTGTTATTAAATAAGTTACGTGCTTGTTGTTTAGTTTCCATAATTTGTGTGCACATTTGTTTTTCAAATTGAGACAGTTTCATTACTTTCTTAGCAAGCTCTGTGTCATGTTTAGTTTCTTCTTCTGCAACCGACATATCCCATATTGAACCACTAAGAACATTTGATAGCTGCTTTTGAAATTCTTCGGAATCAGTTTTTTTGTGTATTCTAATATAAAGATTCTCCATATAGTTTTTGGCCCATTCTGTACTGGATATTGAGCTTTTTTGCTCCAATACCTTTTCGTCTAAAGCAAGAAGTTGTTCATATGTATAATTTTGAAACTGACAAGGATGTTTTAATGTAAATTCTTGCATATCTTTCCGCTCTTTGTACGTTAATTTAGGAGGCACTGGATCTTTTAAATTCATGGGCGTATTTAGTTCTTTAATTTTATTTATCATTTTGGAATACTTATGTCTTATATAGTCATAGGTATCTTTTACCTTTGCAGATTTTTTTCTTTGCCATTCTATGAAATATTTTTCATTTAGTAAAGGCTTGGAAAGATTGTCAAAAAACGACTCTTCCTCTTCAGGAATTTTATCTACTTGAAATCTATGGCCCAATTTTTCTACTAAACCAGATACCATTTTTCTTTCTCGTTTAATAAAATCCGTTCGATCTTTTTTGTCTAAGTGAAGAAATAACTTATAGAATAGGCGCAATAAACAAGAACTTTTACCGTTCATTAAATTTTCTAGTTCCACGTCACTTAAGTGTATATCCAACGATAGCAACCATTGCCTAATGTACTTCCAGTTATTTTTTACTTCTTCGGTGTTGTTACCGGCCCTTATCAAATAATATTCTTCTCCGACTATTACCCCATAGCTAAGAAGAACACCAGCAATCACATAACCGTTTTTCATCATATCTCCAAAAGCTTCAGCTTCCCACGTTATCGGTCGCTGTAACCTTTCTGTTAACCATTCTTTTAATATTTCAGCCATGTTTAAAATTGATGTTAATTCCGTTAGTTAATATATATATATTATTTTAAAGGTCAATAAAATCTGTCATTGAAGGATATGACAAATCAAAAACAAACTGGGTACATTTTTTAACGTTTTTTGTTTATGGATTATTTTTAAACTTTTTGTAGATATGAAAAAAATTGTTGTCCGAACGTATACGTATATAACCTTTATTGTATACCCATATGGGCATGGATCGTATACCCATATGGGTATGGATCGTATACCCATATACCGAATATGGATTCGCAAAATTCGGACCGATACGAACGACCTTTAAGAAAACAACATAGTCATTCCTCAAAGGCCGACAACGCGCCGATGACTCCTGAGTTGCAGGAGCACATGGGCGGCGGTGGTCAATTACCATCAGATGACGCATCCACTCATTCGCCCCCTTTTCTATAAAAAGTATGATGTGATTTGACTTGATATCAGTACAACTGCCGTCACCACAGTTTGTCTCTAGTAGTATAAATCATCGTTTCGTATCGCTTTTATTTCTTTAAGTAACATCTTTAAAATTAAATAAATAATAATAATATAATGTAAATTATTAAAAATCAAATCAAATCTTTCAAATAAAATTTGTATTCTGTTGTATTACATTAGTACATATTTCTTATCAGATTTCTGATTTGAAAATCACACCGTGTTTTTAGTTGATGTTGTAATTTACATACGTTCTGTTCAGTTTACAACTTTTTTCAGTTAATATTAGCCAATAGACCTTTTTAAAAACTGAAACCTGTTCTGTAAAAGTTTTACATACTTTATTGTTATTACCTAATAACTGGCACACTGTATTTTCTTTTTTTCACTAGACTGGCAACACGTAGTTCTATTTGTCATTCCTTATTATGACTTTTTTGTGATGTTTATTTTCACTGTTTTTTATGTATATTTCTGCAATTCTTTCTAGATCTAATTCAGGATGAAATGTAATGAATTTGAAAAAAGTGTATGTAACAAAACAAGATTGTTTTACGAGGTTAGAAAAGTAAAAACGATCGCTATAATAATTTACGTTGTTCACAGAAATCTCGCCACATGAACCTGGATAATTTGGATAAAGCCTTGCACGACTTGGGCATGCTGAGTGCAATAACCGAAGCGCGTCGTGAATATTTACGCGATTCTAAATCAAATTACAGCGTAATGCGATTGAATACTCGCTACGTGTCGAACGTGACCGTGGGTTACTGTATGAAGCGAGCGACAAACAAAAACAGACTCTGCCCCTACGTGTTGCCCATCAGACACAGAACTAAGAGTGAAAACTCGGACGCGATCGGTAGTGACGTGAACGATAGCTCGTGCGAGTATAAAAACAGTTTATTAGAGCCATCCACCAGTGGTTACAACCACGAGTGCGCCAAGAGTCCAGCGAAGCGCTGCCAGTCTCTAGAGAATCTGAACCTGACTGTGGAAGCTACTCCAGGGCCAGAAGCATCACCTGATATGGACTGTGTTTCTACGCGAATCCAAAAGTTACAAGTTGATGAATGACATCATTTGGTTATGTACACCTAGAAATCTAGTGTGGTGACCTTCGATTGTTATTTACTCTAAGTTAGAGTATCGGAGGTTAGATAATAGTTGTAGTTCAAGTGATCACATGAATGTTGATGATGTATTTTTCAGTGTATTTGTACTGATGCATGGATAAATGTAGATGCTGATTTAAATGTTCCTAAGTTGTTTGTGTAATATATTTGATTTAATTTTGCATGTATTATCTACCCCAACGATTTATTAAAATGATTGTGCAGCTATTCTTTATTAATATTTAAGCAAATTGCTCAAAACTTTATCAGAATTGGTACAAATTAGATACATTTTGTTGGTATCTGTAATAGACAATTGTTTGAAATTTGAGTGTTTGTTTTTTATGAGAATCTTATGAGTTTCATGGTTACCATAATATAAACACCAGTTGATCGAGAACAAATTTGGTTTTAATTTGTCTAAGTCACATGTGGGCTTCATTAACATGTCATATAATTAAAATGTATATTCAAATCATCACATGTAGAATAAATTAAATTTGAAAATATTAGTACCAATTATTGTTGTTTGTAAAATGTAATTATTGCACTTATTAAGACTGTTCAAAGATCTCATTTCATTCACATATTCATGAACCATATTTGAATTGTCTACACATGTTATTTATTTTGTTTGTCGAACACAGCTTTGTGACTTAGGAAATAGATACTTATGTTTGTTAACATATTTTGTTATTTTGTTCATATTAATTTAATAACAAATATTTTAAATAAATATTGCTTTGATTAATTGATGAATGGTTTTATTGAAAATCTTTGAAAAGTAATACACATTAAACAAATATGGCTGACAATTGGTCAGGCATGTCTCATAACAGCTTTAAATACAGGCCACATTTCAATCCTATTAAATGTTTTTTTTTCTGTGGCCACTACTCGACTATTTTTGTTTTTAGATTCTGACTTAAATGATTATCTCTCCAATATGAATTTACACCATTATACTGTCAACAATATTCAATGAATTTGTTTACAGTTTCATTTGCTTCCTATGTTGACTTCTATTTAATGATAGGAAGAACATATTTCCATCTAGACTTGATGTGCTTTCCAAACAGTGATGCTTGCTGCTAATAAGAATTTCCTACCAAAATCCAATAAGTATTTTCTTGTATTAGAATTGAAGCCGTCATAACTTACGCTGCGGGATTTTGAACTGGATTTCACTTAAAGGTATAAGCATAAACTGTACAAGAGCCCCAATCTTGCAATATAGGCAACGAGAGAGATGGATAATAGATAGATCTCTCTATCTATTTCTAGATCTGCGGTTGGTTGGGGTATATGAGGTGTGAATAAGTAGCCAATCGCAGCTTAGCTAAACAGACACAGGGAATTATCGGGCATCCATCTCTTTCGTTGCTTGTATCGCTTCCACTTAAGGCAGCTCTACCCCGTGTTCTCTCTATGCTTATATCTCTATGGGGTTTCATACCGACCGTGAACGAAGCTATATCGTAGCTGTAACTGTAAGGTTGTGGTTTACGATTTATGACGTGTTAAAAAGAACTACTTACTAGATCCCGTTCAAACCAATTTTCGGTGGAAGTTTGCATGGTAATGTACATCATATATTTTTTTAGTTTTATCATTCTCTTATTTTAGTAGTTACAGGGTGGGGGGGGGGGGGGGCGGACACACACACATTTTACCACTTTGGAAGTGTCTCTCGCGCAAACTATTCAGTTTAGAAATAATGAAATTAGAAACCGCAATATCAGTTTTTGAAGTCCTATTCATAAATACCCCGCACGTATAGGTTTGAAGAGTTTCAGTTCTAAGTATGGGAACCCCCAAAATTTTTATGTTTTTTTCTATTTTTGTGTGAAAATCTTAATGCGATTCACAGAATACATCTACTTAGCAAGTTTCAACAGTATAGTTCTTATAGTTTCGGAAAAAAAGTGGTTGTGACATACGGACGGACAGACAGACAGACATGGCGAATCTATAAAGGTTCCGTTTTTTGCCATTTGGCTACGGAACCCTAATTATAACTTTAGGTACTTATTATTTATTCGAAATAGGTTTTTGCTGATTTATGACTACAATGAAGCTTGAAATAAGAGATACCCAATGTTCTTCACACTTAAAATAAATTCAAAACGAGTAAATTGTTCACAATTTTTCTCACCACTCAATTCAGTTCAAACAATCAATTTTGAGTCATCTTACTCCAATCACTACAATCGTTAGTAAAGTTTTATTTATTTATCAATTTTTATTTGTTTACCGGAGAATGGCAATAACAGTTTACATAGGGCAAAAACCGGAGGTATAAGATGTAACTATAATAATTTCTATGTAGTGACACATTAAGAATCGGGAGTGTCACCACACCTATCCCATGGATATCGTAAAAGCCGACTAAGGGAGTCTGGCCAGCGTAGTATAGTAGGCCAAGTTGAAAGCTATTGATAAATTGATTTCATTCATGTCACAGCTGAGCTGACCTATCCAAATATTTCCAAAAAGAATTTCAAGATTTAAAAAAAATTGTGGGACAAATGAAAGTTTTATCTTATCTTTATCCTGAATTTGTTAATTAATTCAGGAAAAATATGACACGACTATCCCACATTTTCCCCAGTGTAGAAAGGAAACAAAAGAACCATTTCATTCCATTTTTATTTCCACATGTCTGCAGTATGAGGGACTTTATTCCAATTACATTGACACACTTGATACACAATCTTGTGAATGAACACGTACCTAGTACATTCACAAGATTTTACTGTTTACAATTCGTGACTACAAAATGCAAAAGTAGCAGTAGGCAAAAGTTGAAGTGAACACCACTTTGCCTAAAGTGTAACCAAACTAGTTAGAAGTAGTAGATACTACAACATTGGTTATGCAGACATCTTGATATACCAGAAGTTCGTAGTCGAACAACACAAGTGACTCACTGCTAAAGATTCAAAAGGTAATCAAGTAAAATAACATAATTTATAATAAAAAAATAACTCTTTAAATAGTTTCATTTTGGTTTATTTACCTTTAATTCAGGACTTAGTAAACAACAAAATAGTGTTGTGAGATTTCAGTAAATATCCATTCATCCAACCATCGAGTTATACCGATCACCTAAGAGATTTCTTGTGAAATTTACCTATCTTTACTCCCACTCTCTACTCTACAAAATGTCTGTATATATATATATATATGTTACGTTCTTGTATATTTTTATAATTTATATCACTGACTTTCCTTTTTGGATGGAGCAGCACCAGGGGTGAAGTGCTCCCGGCAGAGACTCGCCGCAGATCAGTCTGGTTATCGAAAACCAATACAAACTGGTATAATCAGTCAAGCTAATTGTTTTACTTTACACTATCCGTGTGTACTTACACAAATATAGAGCAAGTGAAGCTTATACTCGTATTGTACAAAAGATTCCAAATCCTGTACAGATAGTCTACAATTCCACTTGATTCCCCAAGATTGAACCTACAGAGTTCTATCTTTATTTGATACTTGGCAGATTTTCTTGTATATTACAATTAATTCAACAAGTCAGTGGAGATGCTTTTAGTAATGGCAACAAAAACCAATCATAAACTTAAAATTCATTTATTCGCAGCCATGAGTATGTAACACTTAAGATAAATAACAGAACTTCACTGTAAATAATATTGTATTTAACTGATTGCTGGGGGTGACCAAACTTTGTTTAACCAATTATAGCGCTTTCACTTTCAACTGCTTCATTTTTGGCGTTTTGCGTTTCTGTTGACGTTTTTGTTCCTTTAATTCCCAACGACGCTGCTTCTCAGGATCATCTTCCTATAACAACATGGCGTAATATTAAATTTCTTACTGTTATAAAATTGCCAGCATAGCAGTATTGCAACATATACAATTGAATTAATAAAAACTATCGGCAGTGGCATTTTGTAACAGTACCGCGGACGTTTCAGTTTGGTATTTTGTGGACCAAAAGAGAAGTATAGGTACCCTCCCAAATAAAACACATAATTTTCTGATCGGGTTCATAAATATCGGAGTTCTGAGATAACTAACATAAAAATGCAATAAATGGGATAGGCGTATGTCCAGCAGTGGACTGCGATATGATGATGGTGTAAAAATCACAAAAAGGGTACAACTAAACCTAAATCACTCATCACAGAAGGCACAGAAATAATTATGGTTATGGCAAAATATATGTCAAAGTATTATCACTATACAGGATAAGACTAGAATTATTCTGGAGTTTATTTACAATATTAATTGATATTGAATTACAGATATTACTGCTCTTTTCATATTTAAAGCCCAAATTGAAATATTGAATTACAGAAAATTCTGATATGAAACGGTAAATAAATCCGATTTTGATTTAAAGTTAAAAGATTGTTGTTATAATGTTATAACAGTAATATAAAAGTAAGACTCACCGCCAGTATTTTCTCTTTCTCCTGTTTCCGTTTCTCTTCTCTGCGTTGGGCAGCCTGTTCCTGCCTGGCAGCATGAGCCCCACGCAGCCAAGCTTCTGCTACCTTCTGACGACGCTTCTCGCATTTAGCTAGTGCCTGGAATTTTGTGATCAAGCTTTGGTAACTTTTCTTTAAAATAAGTTTTAGCAAAGGAATTATAGGGTTGGAAGCTTTCAATAAAGCCATCCTACCAGCAAGTCCGTTATATAAATTAAATACAAATGTTTTTACACACTGGTGTATTTAGGAATGTCTCGACTAGTTCGGGTCACACTGATGGAGTATACACAAAACACCCAAATCAGTAACATTACATTTCTTTAATTGAAATTTTATGTTATATTGATTCATAACACTATACATTTACTTATTTTCTTTGTACTTCTTTCTTTATAAATATACTTCTATGGTAAACCCAAAAGATAAGTTTAGAACCGGTTGTCTGTAAGACCGTGGTTAAGTGGCGACTTCAAATTCAGAGGGCTCGAGCGAAAAGATGTTAAAATCAATAAAAATCAAAATGTAATAGACACAAAACTGATACAGAACAGCTTAAGTATAGTCGTGAATCTAACCTCTTTGCTGAGCCGCAGGCGCTTGAGCTTGTCCATGAGGTGGAAGACGAGCAGCAGCAGCGGCCGCACCTCGTCGCCGCCGCCGTCGGGCCCCAGCGCCAGGCTCACCAGCAGCACGCGCTCGCACTCCGGGGGCTTCGCCACCGCACCCTCCCTGCCCACACGACACACTGAAAATTAATGGCTGAAGAGTGCAGTTCATTACAGTTTTGTCGAGAATTAGACGCGTAAAAGTCGGTGATACCTTATTAAAGGTTATTTATTTAACATTTTATGTTAGAGGGGGCAGACGAGCAGACGGGTCACCTGATTGAAAGTGTCCATCGCCGACCATGAACGTCTGCAACTCAGGAGTCACAAATACGTTGCCGGCCTTTTAGAAAGGAGTACGATCAGGAAATACCGCACACGATAACCCGTTCCACAGATTGGTTGTGCGGGGCAAAAAGTGTCTCAAAAAGCGCACAGTAGTGGAGCGCCAACAATCCTGGTACTGAGGATGAAAATTTTGCCATGTGGAACGATAGCGGAAAGTTGCGGCTGGTATTAGTTCGAACAAAACAAGACAGTCCACTCAATAGTCCACCAGCAGCCAGACTCAGGGCAGCATGAGGGGCTGGAATGCGCGCCTCCGCCGCCCGGTTTGAACTGGAACCCAAAATTGGATTCGGACCCCTTCTTCCCGGACGCTTTCCACCGGACTTTCTGCAAAATGACATCCTCGCAGAAGGATTTGATATATCGGGCATGGAGATCCGAGAGATTCTTTCTGACGCCTGCAATGAGGACACGACGCTGCGCCGACAGAATTTGCTAAGCAGAGTTCTCACAGTTTCCTGCTCGGGCTATGGCCAAGATGACGTCAGCGTAACGCCTAGCATTGGAAGGAAATCACCTCCTAGGGCTTAATCGTACCCGACGTTCCACAGGCGTGGTCCAAGAACAGACCCCTGCGGAACACCACACGATTCGTAAGCTTTGCTCCTCTTAATAGTCTACTAGTAGCCTCCTGCGTTTCCCTGATGCAGCTAAATGGCAAAAAATTGTTTTCGTTGTGAAAGGACACCGTCAGTAACACGCCACTATAGCTCACTACCTAATCGGTCATGTCTCTTAGGCGCATAACAGTCATGTTGGTTAGTCGAACGCCCTACACGAAAACCGAAGCGTCTGACAAATCGGAGCCGACCACGCACATATGCCGATACGGCCAGAGAGGACCCTCACTAAACAATTTATCCACCTCGTCTAGCAGCACGATGCGCCTGTAAGCCGCGACCAAGAGGGGTGTCCCGGCTGTGTCAAGAACACCAACATCCCTTTCTTCCTGCACTCAGGGAAGTGTCCAGACGCCAGGCTAACGATTGGACACTTGCCTGAGGAGTTCCGACATATGGTGGAATTTTTCAGAGTTGGGATCTGAAATCTATACAGATAGTAAGCTTTCACGAAAAATACTGACTCCATTTGCTTCGGGCCCGAGTATCTGTCGGAGATGTGTATGTACTGCACGTGCGCGTGGTAGAGCGCGAGCGCGGCCTGCACGCGCGCGTCCAGCACGCCGGCCGTGGCCTCGGCCGTCTCCGACATCACCGACAGCGCCGCCGGCAGCCCGTGCTTATCGCCCGGACGACGCTCCGGGCAGAACACGCTCTGGGAACAACGCATACATATTTATATAGTATATCGTTTCTGATTGTTTTTATTGACAGAGAATCACACCTTAGGATGCTTACTGGGCTATATAATAATTATTTTTTATAGAGATTCTGGCCTTCTATTTTATTATTAGAATAAGAGCTTCCGTTTCCCTCTATCGCGGTTTATGATTATATATTTATAGGAAGGTAGCTGGTGCCTTACCTTCAGAACTGTTAATAATATAATAGTACATATTGCTTTTGTTTTTTTTTTTAATGGAACGATCCAATTAAGAATCTAAAAATATTTAAAAACAAACAAAGAATTAATTTTATTCAATTAAACAATTAATTAGCACAAAGAACAGATAGTAATTTCTGGTCTACAAAGAAAAAAGAGTAACTTTAGTAAACTGCTTTTAATCTTATTATCTTTTTTAGGGCTTCCTACATAAAGAGGCAACGGCCCCTCTCTGTTTCTATGGAATTTATTTCAAATACTGTAAATAAGTAGACAGTTGAAATTATCTAAGTAAGTTTGTATCTCATATCATACAAGTAACGGGTTTTTTTTTGTATTTTTAATATTACACTTTCTACTACAGTACGGTCTATTTCGGGTACGAATTCGACTTACAGTTAGCTGTTTTCTTAAGACAAATCTCTGCAGAGAATGTACATACCAGATCCTGCATTTCCTTGGAGAGTCGCGTGGCGATCTTCTTCTGGGCGACGCACAGCACGAAGGGGTCGCTGTCATCTTTACCTAGTTCCACACGCACCAGCAACGTGTCCGGAGTTGGTCTAACTACATTCAATACTACGTGCACCAGGTCTTGACGCTGTCGGAGGAAATAGTTACATCTAATTAGTCGTAACTTTTAAATAAAGTCCTGTCTGAGCATTTGTAAGCGGTCGAGGGGCATTGAGTTCGATATTCGGATGATAGACGATTGCTATTAATCAATGTATCAGGTATGATAGCAGGTTCGGTTCGGTTGGTTGAGGTTCGGTTTACCTGCTCACCTACTTACAAAAGATTATCCAATTTCATATCGCATTTTGCATGACAATGCCATTCAAAATAAATTTTACATTCTAAACTCCTACCTAGTCATACATACACAATAATTAAAATGTGAATTTGCAAATATGTTGATGTCCTAAGTAATAATAGATACGTAGCATATACAAATAATCTAATTTCCGTTAAAAAAATGTAGGTATCCAGCCCAAAGGAGGTTTTGACATTCTCTTTGCAGTGCTGTTGTCCTGCGTAGTTTGTTCTCTTAGTTGGCTCTTACGTCACCCATGCGATGAATAGGCATCATCAATGGCAACGCTGAATGCGCTTGCCGTCATCGGGAGAGTCGCCTCAGATAAGTGAGTGACTTGGTACTGATATATACGACTCAAGAGTGTTGTGTGTTAACGTCCTTTAAGTGAACCTCACCAAAGATTTAATTAAGGGGGGACTACGGTACCCCGGTGACCCGGTTAAAATCAACGAACAAAATGCTTAACATCGGTTGTTTGCGGTCATGGTATCACTGAAAGCGAGTGGGCCATATGTGGTGAAGTACGGCTCTCCCACGGCAACTGTACGTAACCACACCAAAATCCACTTAAGGTTTTTATTCAATCTCTTTTCTGCAGAATCAGCGTGGAAGATAGAGATTTTGAAATTTTTGCAATCCCTTTGCTAAAAGTTGTATACACCAATGTAAATTTTTAAAACAGTTTCATATTAAAATCCAAAAAAAAGCATCGTTCACTATTGTTATATATTAGGAATAAGAACAAACCTTTATAAGTTTGAGTGTAAGCAGCATGCCTTCGCAACACACTCTGCCGCTACACCACATCGTGAAACAGTGCTCCGCCTCCCGGCGCCACCCGCGTTCATCGCTCGCAGCTACTACATCCAATCCTGTCTCACCTGTAAACAATAACCAACTTATTATGCCTGGACTGTAGCTCTAATGGTTAGTGATCTTGACTGCTGGGCTGGAGGTCGTGGGTTCGGTTCCCAGGACAAAGAATTGTGTGATGAGCACGGTCATTTGTTTTGTATGTTTATAGCAGTCTGATAACTTCTGATAAATATACTTTTATATTTTTGTATATTAAACAGCCTCTCTAATTTGGGATAAGACGGACATGTGTGGTCTCACGCCTCACACACGACCGTCTGATCTCAAATGATTACTTCTATTTTTATTTTTAGTAACGAGCGAATAATAACATTTTCGGACATTAACACACAACGCTATCTAGGTTAAAACTAAGCAGAGCTTGTACTATGAAAGCTAGATTGATTGTTAGAATACTTTTATAATTTTTATAAATACATGTATAATACATAGAAAACACCCAAACTCCGAAACAAATATTTGCAGATCATAGAAAAATTTAGTCCGACCCGGAAATCGAACCCGAGACCTCAGCACAGCAATCGCATACGCTACCACTGCACCACCGAGGAAGTCGAATAATACAATAGAAGCTCATGTTAAAGCTTACAACAGCAATTTATTAATAACTTATAATCATCCAACTAACTGTATTAGTCTGTATTAATCTGTTTAAATATATCAGTACATCTTTCAAGTCTCAGGAACGTGTTATACAAACTGTGTGACACGAATTAGAGCATAGAAAATGAATAAATAAAGTTTTTTTTTTCATACAAACAGCAGTGTTATGGACCATTCGAGTTGTTGAATTCTTACCGACTAATGTGAAGTTATCATCGAGTAGTGGTTTATGAAGCTTGAGGAAGTTGGTGGCTATAGAGGTGTTCTTGGCGCGTCCGACTGCGTAAGCCAACGCGTACGCAGCGAGCAGACAACACAGGATGCCTTCCAACCAGTACGCGTCCCACCGCGGACGGACCATTATAGGAACCTGTACAATAGCAACTATTTTTATACAGACAAACAAACGAACACGTGACATGACACAAGACAAACGTTAATTGCTTCAATTTAAAATTGATTTACCAAAAATTTAAGGAACCAAACAAAATCCTTTTTATAGATTTTCGATTCGACTATTTTTCACTGGATAACAGCACTTCAAAAACTAAGAAAAATTAAAATATGTCAATCAAATCAAATATCACACGCTTTCCCGGTTTCCTGTTACACAGTTCCATCCCTTTTAACAAAATCAATCCCATAGATTGCAAGAAAGGAAGGAAATATGTTGCATACAATCATTTGAAATATACATTACATACATTGGGCCAGTATGGCATATTATTGTAGAACTGCTCTGATTTAGTTGATTTAGTTAACAAATAGCAGAGGAAATGTTATAAACAGTGCTCATATCAAATATAATATGTATAAAATTAGGTGAAAACGTTTGACTGGTTGTAACCTTAGAAATAGTGATCTTTGGTTGTTCGTTCGTTCTTGGCACGCTGTCTTGGAACCCTTCAAACTCCTCGGGGTCCTGGAAGTGCTCAAACTCATTATCTTCATCCTGCAAAAGAACAATAACTCATGTGAATAAAAACACACAATCATGTCCAATAGCGTAATTGTTTTCTAACATGTTATAGGTAACAACTTTTTACAAATTGATTTATGCCGAAAAATTGTATATTGCATATACAAATTTATTTGAACACATATTTTTATAATTACCTAATAATCATTTTATCATTTTTGGAACAGCTTGAAGAATATTTTTTTTATGAAGACCAGCCTGAAACTACCAGTATTATTACAAATACAATTTTTTTTTAATTTAAGTTTAATTATTTTTTCTCTTTATTTAAGACAATGGATTTTTATACATAAATATGACGATGTCAGTCCCATGGTACCTTATTCTAAGCTAACTACTACACTAAGTATATACGATCTCTATTTAAAATTAAATTATAAAGCATTTTAGCTGTCTTTGAATTTGGATCAGTTAACATGCTTTGTAATATGCCAACAATATGGAGTTTCGTTCAAGAAGATTATGGGCGATGTAACGTTACGCTACGATCGTTAAAACCAAAGCAGTGACAATCTACACGCTGATGACTATAGTAAGGTACATCACAACTAGCGTTGTCAGTCGTTCCGTATTTCCCCGGACGTCCTGTATATTAGGCATAGTTTAAGATATCCCTGTGGGACTGACTCTGTCCCGTATTTGAACCGTGCTCAATTTATTTTATAAACCGTTTCTATCTATGGTTAAATATAATAATAATAATATAATAACCTCACACTTCTCACACACGGCTGTCTGATCCCAAACTAGGCGGAGCCTGTACTATGGTAACCAGACTGTTTATAAACATACTTATATATTTCTAAATACATACATGTTATAGATAGATATTCATATTCGATCTAACTCGTATCCTCTGATTTACGTAGAACGTAACAACGAATCAGCAAATGAAGTAACTAAGTTTTTATTAAGTACATTGGAGAAAAATGGATTATGTTTAAATAGAGTTTTAGCATTTTCTGCTAATAACACGAATGTAAAATTCGGCAAAAACTGTTTAATTTATATACTTTTGCTAGCTAAACATATGAAAAATGTTAAAACTGACTCAATGCTCAGAAGAATATAAAAAAAAGAAATGTCACTATTAACTTTATTTCTTATTTGTCCCGGGTGGAAAACTGAAAGTATTTTTTGCACATTTAGGCATGTGTCCCTTACATGCTGAAAAACAATCTCGCAACCATACATAACCCTCATTACCATATTTCATTTACAATACAATGAACAATTTCTATGTAAATTCTACATTCACATGCATAATGTGACTTGTGAAAAGTAATTACTATGATAATACTTCTAAATAATTCTTTGGTAAATAATTACCTCAACTATGAGATCATCTTCGGTTTCAATGGGAGCTTCAAATTCTTCCTCGGATGATGGTTTTTGTTTCATCGGCGGAACTGGCGGTACTTCCTTGTCGTCTTCATTGTATTCTGAAAGCAATAATTTAAGTAGAAATGATATAATTGGAAAATTATCTGGACTTAAGATCTTTTATTTCAATTCACTAATTTATATTATTCATAGGTATTTTTGAAATTTAAAGAGTAGGAGCAGTCAAAATAAGTCAGTCATGAAGTTAATTGCCAGTTCCAATAATTATTTTAAGCTTTTTAAGCATGTTGGGTACGTGGGAGAGCAATGGCACACATGGACCAGGTCAACTAGAGTGATAAGAGTGTTTCACAGAAAACCTGTTAAAGAATTTCTATCGTTCCTGTTTGCTAAGGTTCCCGCTTCCTCCCTCCTCCCTCAAAGGGACTTGTTTGACAAAAATTAGATAAATAAATCCGGCAAAATACCACTATTTTTGAGGAAGATCAGGCAGTCTGATGGGGTCCAGCCCAAATTATCGCAGTTGTTAAGAGCATGACATTTGTGCCAGCAATCATCTAGCTCAAACATATTAAATATCAAACATAACTCAACTTATATGCAATAATCAGCAAAACTTCTAGGCAACACGCTACATACATTTTTATTTACAGTATCTTTCTTTGAGATAACTATCACAGAGATCAAACAGTCTCAGAAGAACCTTATAAATAATATAAATGCACTTGACTGCACGGATAGTGTAGTGGTTAAAGCGGTCGCCATGCCGTTTACTATTACACTGAGTTTTGTGGATCCGATCCCCACATGGGACGACACTTTGTATGATCCACAAATTTTATGTATGTTTGTAAATTCCCCCGACGAAGCGACACAGGATATATTCCTAATGCGGGAGTTGTCTTTTTTAACATAAACATAAATAAGTATTATTGACAGGTGTGTTAGTCTAGCAGTTAGAGATCTTGACTGCTAAGCCAGAGGACAACCTGAGGGTTTTTTTGTGGGGTTTTTTTTTTTATTAAAAAAGATGTTTCTACCGGTTTTCTATGTACTGGCAAACTTAGAAATAAATTCCTTTCTTTTTAATACAATAATATGTTTTTTGATTTTTTATTTTTAATAAAAAAAACAAAAAAGGTAACTTTTCTCTGTATTTGAATTTTAAAATTCAGTAATTTTGGGGGCCAACACTAATATTTTTTAAGAAGTTATTTTAGTTTATAAGGTCAATGGGTAATAATTATAGTCTTGTTATGTATAGTTAGTTTTTTTCTTTTATTTTTTTATTGTTACAATAAAATAACATGGTTTTAAAAAAAAAGGGAAAAATGTTTGTAGGTCACAAACCAATAAAAAAATCAGATTTTGGGTTTTTCTGCCATAAACCTGTAAGTGAAAGAAAAAGCAGAAAACCTTAAGAGTCAAATCAGTGTAGATAACTTCGTTGTTTGTTGGTACACAATCTGGAACCTCGAAATGTATGGGGGTTGTAACAATTTCCAGGTTACAAATAAAATTGGGTTTTCTGACATAGATTTGCCACCAATAGTGTTAAGTCTGGAAGTAGAAGTCTAGAAGAAAGATTTTCTCAGAGTGCCTTGGCAACTCGGGGTTTTTGTATTCTCAAAATACTCTTTTTTTTTTTGCATAATTTGCAGAATGTGACTTTTATTTTACCTAAGACTCTTTTTGCACACTACGAAATATTATATTCACAGTTTTGAAAGTTACATCTGTGATGTGTATGTTTAAATATAATATAACAATAATATTATTTTTTAAGTGATTTTTGTATGTGGTCAAGTGGATTTGAGAATTGTTCAGATTCACAATTTGGTCCCCTACAATATGTTTCTTTAGTTTAGAAAACACCTGTCAGGTCCCCTAGTATTGTTATAAACTTGTTCATCAGTAAACACTCACCACTGGCAGATTCCTCCTCATCATCAACTTCAAATTGTTCAAATTCTGCAAAGTCATCATCCTCTAAATTCTGGTCTTCATATGCTTGAGCCACTAAGGTACCACAAAGCAGTAGTACAACTGATAGAAGTACCACCCGCATTTTTCACCCTTAAAATAAAATAAAAATTACATTTGTTGTAAAATTGAGTAGCATCTAAACAATACAGCATTTTTTGTTATCATTACTTTCTACAAAATAAACACATCTTAATTTGTTATTGTATGTTATTAATTCAACTTATTTAAAAAGTTAGTTTATCAACATCAAAAACTAATGTTTATATGCTTTGGGTATAAATATGCAAAATAGCAACAATGACCTTTGCTCACACAAAAGTAAAAAAAGAATAACAAGTATTTAAAAAAGGAACAAACCAAATTATTTAATTGAGGAAGTTAGGAAGTGGAATTGTTTATATTACCTGTACAAGAGAATATATGTTTTTTCCTGGTACACATAGACGTTACAATGTTTTAATTCTAATTGACACAAGGAATAGGTAATCTTATCTCTCCTACAAGGCTGTACAAATATGACTTAAAAGGTTTCAGGTGAGGATCATGAAATCAAAACTAAGTAGTAACCTTAAATTTACACACATGTAAAGTTAAACTAATTTAACAAAATACAGAAAATATGTAATAAATACAATATAAAAAGAAAAAAGTTCAATATTAGCAAGTAGTTTCGGTACAAAAAGTTCTGTTAAGCATGACTTTAAAATTATCAATAAATTATAGTCTGTTTAATAATATAAATAGGTTGTAATTTTAGCCTTAGATATGAAGGTGATCTAAATATAAATATTCCTTTTTTCAAAACTACACGGTTGACAGTGCATTTTTTTTTCAATTAAATGGTTGGTAACAAAGATAATTGTAATGATAAATCGTTACCTGTTACCAAATTCTCACTGTTTATAATAACTAAACTAGTTCATTAACTTAAAAATTACATTAAATTCACATAGATTTAATCACATTTCACCTACTTTATTACGGGATTCGTACAGTATGTTTTCATTTAACCAGTCTGCAAGATTGATAAAACTTCTAAATGAGTGATTAGTGAATTGATAATGTGTGTTTTAACCTCCCAATGAGATTGTTTGACCTAGTTAATACTAGGGATATTCACTTAACATCGATATATCGAATTTATTCGATGTATTCCGTACGATATATCGGATTGATTCGATGTTTTGACTAACATTTATTGTATTCGATATATCGATATATTTATTTATAGAAACATTGAATATTTGCTTTTTTTATTTTCTTGTCGAATCTATTAACGAACTAAATAATTTTAACACTACTTGATGCCTTCAATTTTAAATAAGGTTCATTAAGATAGTGACATCTGTGAGTGACCATCTTAATTATCTAATCTATCCTGACAGATCGATCGACTATTCACTCTCAATGTATGTATAGTCTGTGGATTCTATAGGTTCATTATATTTACTTACACTCACTTCACTCTTCTTGCGTCGTCTTCTTCTGTTTGGCGGTAACGCAAATAAATCATTGTTTTAATTGTTTATCTAAGACAAATTTATGTAAGAATTTTACTTGCTACTACAATTTATTACTCTAAAATAACTGATTTGACCTATCGTTTGATTGCTAGTTCGAAGTTGAAAAGGTATATAATATTATATTTCTATTATGTTTATGAACCTAACCTCTACTCGTTTGTGACAGTGTTTTACATTGAAGATATAATATAATGATCTTTTATATGTATTACACTACTAGTTTAGCTATGTTACTCTGGTCTCTAATTCTACATTCATACTTACAAAATCAAGGACCACAAACTTTGTGCGTTTCACTGGAAAAAGGTAATATTAAATTTTTGTGGAAAGTATTCGATAGTGAAAAAATATCGATGTTTTCTAGCGATATATCGATAAACATCGATGCTGGGATCCAATATTTTACATCGAATATAAATATCGATATATTTTTTAAGTGGACACCCCTAGTTAATACATTTTCAACAGTAAAAAAATCGTAATCGAGAACATACCTGTAAATGTCACGTCACATGACATTTGGCTTGCAGAGCTGCCAAATTGAAATAAAACTCCTTTTTCTCTTGTGGCCACAGAGATATAACCTAGAGGGAACTAGAGCCCCAATCTTGCAATATAGGTCGAAGGAGATGGGTAAAAGTTAGTCCCCTCTATCTCCTTTTAGCCGAGCTCTGTGGTTGGCTGGGAAATATGTGGAGTTAATAAGTATCCTTTTGCAGCTTAGCCAAACAGAGAGCTAAACAGCAATAGAGATCTCTCTATGGTTACATCTCTATGTTTGTAGCTCTTGCTAGCACTTTTATCATTTTAATTTTGTATTCAGCTAAGTCACATAAATAAGCAGTGTGTTCATTTCCTGTTTTTGGTCTATTGAAACTATTTAATTATGTGTGTAATGAGTTTACTTATTAAAATCGATTTTGGTTTATCGATAAAATAATTCGATTACTGTAAACACAGAGATAGCAACACGGTAGGGATTAGCCATACGCAGGCGTTCCCGTCTGCCAAAGTACAAGTCCACGTGGTCATAAGCGTACAATGAAACTAGTTGCGGCCTGACTAGACTAAACGCTGACTAGACTTAATCTTGTTGCGCCGCTGAGTAGACGACAGTAACCGCCCTACAAAAATGCGGAATTGTTAAGTTTTTTTGCTTCAAAAAGAGATCCGCCACGTTAAGTTTACAAAAGATGGCGTTACCGTTAGTACGTAAGTAATTTTAAATCGAATTATTACTATTTACTCATTTTCAAACTTAAAATTTACGGACATAATAGTTGTATTGTTTTGGATTTGTTTACCAACACACGCCGCTCGCTCTCATACAATATTCGGATCGGTCGAGCAACCGATCCGAATTTCGTGTTGCTAATCGCTATCACCGATTATACCTAGTGTTGTTACCGGTTTGTAAACAGTTAGATAGCGATAAAACAAATACATCCATGTCTCTCGTGCATATTATCATTTTTGAGATTATGTTTTCTAATATAATTAATATAGGGCCTCCCCCTACCCCCTTAATTAAAGATATTATTAGCTCCCAAAACTTTAGGAGACACGGTGATGACTAATTTACGCATGGAAATGACGATACGGAACATGGTAATTACTAATTGATACACGGTATTGACAACATGTGAATTACTGTGTACTAAACAATAAAACAAAAAGTATTAAATTATCATCATTATCATCATCATCACCATGATTATATCATGAAATAATCAAATCTCAAATATAATAAAAAATACTTATAATCAAAAGTACGTCCGTGTGGTGACGGATTAAGAATACAGAGTGTCACCATCCCTATGCATCCCGTGCGTGTCGTAAGAGCCGACTAAGGGAGAAAACTACGCAGAACAACAGCACTGCAGAGAGAAGAAAACTTGAAACAAACCCGGTGGTATAGTAGGCCAAATACCTGCTTTCTAAGGAGAGGCCTATGTCCAGCAGCGGACTGTTAAATGCTGATAATGTGATATATGTGACCTCTTCGGTTAATATTTGGCTCACTAAGCGTCCTTGCTATAGAATGTTATGAGACACAATCTTCGTCGTCATTATCCGGCCAAGTAAAAGTAACAGTCGTGCCCTTGAGTCTTCCTTAAAACTTTACAACAAATGTACTAACTTCATTGGTGTTAATCATGTGGCCAACGAAGTATTTCGTTGCTTTCTTGACTCTATAGGAAATAATGACCCAAGATCCAATTTTGGAAGTCTTTTCCTGACCCTGAGAAATTTCTATATCTGTAGTAATTATGGAGGCTGGAGGGTTTTCGCCAAAAAGCCGTGTATCACCTTAAATCCATTGAGCATCAAATTATGAACATGAGCCTGGGGTTTCAGATGTACTACTTAAAACATTTTGCAGAGAAGCTGTCAGTAATTTAATATCTTTTGCAATGGGTTCCACAAAATCGGTAATGGTTTTCAGGTCAGAACGTGAATAAACTTCTGTAACATTTGGTGAGCATATCATATCCTGTGCTGTTGATGTCAGTTCATCAGTCAAGACTGATTCAGGTATGATATTACTGCTGTGACCAGTTTTAATATCCTGTAGCTCAACTCTTAAACCACAATTACCTTTAGCTATAAAATTGTGGGAACGATAAAGGGGAACGACATCAGATGGTAAGTACGACGACATCGAGACTTTAGGTTGATATGCAATTGGCAGTGACGCTTTCGCAGGGGCTAACAATATGTTAGAGATTATGATTGATTTACTTCTTATAGGAGAGCTGCTTAATGTGGATAACTAATCAATACCATGTGTTTATCATAGACACATATTACGGCTTGGTTTTTGCAAAGCGCCGAAACACAGCTTTGATTTCGAAGAGTAAAGTGTTCTCATTATTTTTATTCCAAACAAATTGGTGAACTTGCATCATACTTTTGAAAAGCTTGAGTACTTCTACTGTCTGGATGTCATGTCATTTATTTGTATCAGTTTTTTATCTTCCTTCCTTTTCTGGTATCTTTGTTTTTTCTTATCCTTATATTCTAAATGAGCCTCTGGGTTCAACTTAATCTTATCTCAAATAGGTAACCTAACTACAATAAAAAACCAGAAGAGAATTAATTAACTAAAATCTCAATCCAAATATTTACAATTTTATGTTATTGTAATTTCAATTTAAAAAAAGAACACAAATCGCCTATAAATAAATTAACTTTAATTTTAAATACAAATAGGATCAAAATACAATAGGAATATTATAACGAACTTGGTGCCGTCATCGGTCGAGGATTACGAGGCCAACCACCGCGTAAATCCGCAACCAAAGACCTTATGGGCACGATAATATCTTGATCAATGCATAACATACACGATTTTTAATTTCAATATGTATTTTTTAGAGGACGTTGACTAGACTGAGATACATGACGATATTTAGCATTACTTACTACCTACGTAAAGTACATCTGGCATAAATATAAAAAGGAACAAGTGCAAAATTTAATTATACAGAATAGAATATGTTGAATATTGGCTGTACCCTGCCGCGCTTCACTGTGTCACATTGTGGTTGCGTGTTGCATTAATTGATTAGAAATAAGAAATAAAGCTAACACAAGAAAGAGATAAAAACAAATTTCTAAGCTGGTTGTATATCATGTCAAAATTTGAGCTCAATCGGTGCAGAACGTTTTGAGTTTTAAAAGCGTAGGTACACAAACCAACTAAACATTTTTATAATATTAAATGAATTTGTAAAATTATGTCAACTACGAAATTGAATGACTCAGATCAATAGTATTATTTACTTGCCGAAATTTAGTACTTTTCCAAAGGACCATAGAGTAAGTAAAATAATTTTATTTTTAATATTTCTTTGTGTTAGCATATTTTCCATTTCTAGCCTCTGAGCTAAAAATAGAATAGTATTTTTGGGGTGTTTAACTTTTAAATTTCCTGGAAGGGAAGTTAATTCAGAACAGGGATGTTTAAAAAAATTATTTGTATTTTAATTTGTATAAAACCCAATAATGTTTAAATCCCAATTTATAAATCTGTAATATAATAAGCAGTCAAGAGAAATAAATTGTTCAACATTTATTTAAATATTTATTTCTTAATTTAGAATGAAATTAACTTACTCACTTTGCTGAAGATTTTTTCCCTTTGCGTTTTTTACGAGGGCCCCGGGTTTAGCCAAAATTCAATTTTATTTAAATTGTGTGAGAAAATAAAATCGAACCATTTTGAAAACATTAGCCATTACCTATGAAATTGCCGTTTTGTATGCAATAAGTGAAAGTACTTATTTTTTTAAACTTTTTTATTTCTGTTATTCGAAGTAATCACCCATGCAATCGACGCATCTTTGCCAACGCATTGGCAGTTTATTGATATTCTTGTAAAAATCAGCTGGACGGGAGGCAACAAACTCTTCAAAGGCATTTTGTACTGCCTCTCGGGAATTGAATTTTTACCCACTAAAAAGTTGTCTAAATTTTGAAAAAAGTAATAGTCGGTAGGTGCAAGGTCTGGTGGTCACATCTGCAACCAGCTTTGGTCAATCGGCCGTCCCCACTGCTCCTTCACGACAACGCGCGATCCCATACTGCGCAATAGACAGTCTCCAAGCTGCAAGAGCTGGAGTTGGAAGCTCCCCCTCACAATAAAAGAAATAGATATTTCATAAGTGACCGTTAAAAACTATAACTAACAATATTTATTAATTTATAACAATATTTGATTTTCTAACATTATAGAGTCATGGCGCATGAAACTAGGTAGGTACATAATTATATCGTATTTGAAAGAATAGAAATGCAGTAGGTAAGTTAATATTTTTATACAATTATGTGATAATTTAAAAACATGTCCGTGAGGTTACGGATTTAGAATACGGAGTATCATCACCCCTATTCATCCCGTGGGTGTCGTAAGTGCAAAAAAAGGGGAAAAGGCAAAGGACAACGCACTGAAAAAAGAAAAGGGAAAATTTGGGTTTTAAAAAAACCCTTTTTTTTTAAGGGGGGAAAACCCCCTGGGGCCCCGCCACCCCCCCGGGGGTTTTATGGGTTTCGGCCCGACAAAAAAACCACACGCCCGGAAACTGGGCCCCGACAAAAGGGAAAAACGGTGGAGGCGCCAGGGGTTGCTCAACCCGGGGGGCCCTGGAAAAATTTTTAAAAACCCCCCCAGATAGGGGGAGGGCTTCCTGATGCAGCTGAAGGGCAGGCTATTGAATGCGTTGGCGAAAAACCCAACCCATACCCCCAAAACACCCACGCCCCCACGGCTTCCCGCCTTTTCGGTCATGGCCCTGGGGGCGAAAAACACACCCCCCGCCCGCCAAAGGAATCGCCCGAAACAAAAATTGGGGTCGGACAGTTAAAGGGTCCACATCGAAAGGGGTTGCCGGACGATGCGGGCAGGGGAAAATTTCTCCCCCCCAATTTAACGCCTCGTCCAGCAAAAACCCAAAGGCCCTGTAGGCCCACCGAACCGGCAGGCCGTCCCGGCTTCCTCAACAGGGGCCAAACCTTCCCCCCCTTTTCAGCCTCAGTGGGGGAAAAGTCCCGGGCGCCAAAGCTAGCGGGTTTAAAAACCTCCCCGAGGCGGGTTTCCCTATGGTCGAGGAAGAAAACCCGCCAAATCGAGAAGGTATCCCCCGTAAAGACCCAAAGGGGGGGTGTTCTTGGAAACGGATCCGAAAACAACCGCCTCTAAATTTCCAATCCCCGGGGCGGGTGGAACATTAATTTCCCCTTTTCCCCCCCGTCGCCGGCCAAGGAGGCCAAACGGCGGGGTGTGTGCTCCGTCCCTTGCGGGAAATAAAGGCCCCCAACCACTTTCCCGCAGGGGAAACGGGCTGGGGCGGGCTCCGTAAGGGGAGGCCCAAAAACGCCCTTTGCTTTTGTCGCGCGATAAAGGCCCCAAACCCCCCGGAGTCACGTGGGGGCATCTCCTTTCTTTTCAATTCTTTGGGCGGGCCCCCAAAATCCTGGGGGCCACCGCAGAACCCCCTTCCTTGGGGTCAAAGCGTCTGTAGTTTAATTTAAAATGGCGAGAAAATAACATCATCTCTATTTTATCCACCCTCCCCCACAGCCTTTTTCTAGTCCAAGTGGACTAGGCCTCTCCTTTGAAAAGGGGGTTTTGGCCCCACTATCTATCTCTATTAGGCTTTTCAAAAGAATATTTGGTTTTCTATTCGGGATTTGGCCTATTCGGCCCGCTTTTTTATATTCGGCCGAATACCGAATATCTACAATTTATTCGGCGAAAAACCGAAATTAATTTAAAAAAATATTTCTTGTCATGGGGAAATAATTGGTAAAATGAAAAAAAAAAAAACGATTGAAATTTCGTATAAAATTCATATTTTTATTTCTGGTTTTAAAACATTTAAGTAGTCATTGGTGCATAAAACAGGTACATAATAAACTTTAATTGGGAAAAAAGGGGATTCTAGGATTTGAATTATTGTGGTAATCAAAATTTTGAAGGGTAAGGTTTTAATTTCCCTTTTTTAATCATTTTTTAAATAGTTTATTGGTAAAAAAAACAGGTACATTAAATTTTTAAATTTACGGGCTTGGGAAAAAGTTTTTGGCGCTAAAATCCAGCCGAATACTTTTGCCTAATATTCGGCTATTCGGTCAGGGGCCTCGCCGAATATTCGGTATTCGGTATACTGCCGAATATACTATTCGTTGCAAGTCTAATCTCTATTATTCCCCTTACACACAACACCGAACAACAACCCTCCCTTAGACACAATATGTCGGTCTGTAATAAAATATTAGAATATTCTTTATAACTATGAACATTGTGGAGGACCGGATGTTATGGCCCTGTTACATCTGTAACTGTATCCTCTGTGTATTTTTGGCGTGCCACGGCCCAACGGATGATGGTGGGAAATTCTTTATATGCTAATCGTAGAGAGAATTATTCATTTCGCAATACAGGTTTAGCAGTTACTTCGTAGTTCGATTTGTCTTCGTTAGATGACGCTTTAGTATGTTTGTTTGTAATAATTTACAAGAATTTATAAATATATCTGAATTAGAAAGCAGATAGCCTTACTGATGTACTTCTTTGTTAGTTATTGAAGAATCATTTATAAAAGGATTATGTTTTTAATAATGAAATAAAATCGTAAAATTAACAATTCTTCCTTCCTTTTTCTTTGTGAGTTGTCCTTTTTAGTTGGATTTACACATTTTCTCAATTGATTTCTATTTGTTTTCTGTTTTAATTAAAGGATACCTTTATCCTCCAAACGTTACTGAGATATATCGGTGTAAGAAATCATAAAGTAATATAAGTATTATATTTTATTTTGTTACTTCAGTTTTCAAAACTTTTTGTCCGTATCGATTGAGGAGCCACTTTAGATTTCAATCGAATATTAAACGGAAACTCACCCCTCACCTGATAGTAAGATATATCCAAAGATACATCAATGTAAAAGTGGCTTCTCAATCTAAACATCTGATTTAAGGCGCCTCCTGGAACACTGAAAGTATTTACAGAATATTTTTGAAAATGTTGTATCATTTAGTAGTAACTGTGTATAGTGCCTACTAAAAATCTGAGTCCAGTACTGTTCATATTGAAGAATATACAATACTTTTAATGTGTCGCTTCAATCTATATTTAAGAGCATGAATTTCCATCGTGAA